TTTCATTTCTCCCCCCCTCCCATTTCATTCCTTCCACCCCCCCAATCCTTCTCCCATTTCATTCCTCCCCCCACCTGATACCCGGCGGCGGGCGGCCCGGCCGGCGCGCGAGGGAGCACTCTCTGTGCGCTTCCTCCTCAGCTCCCTCACGCGCCGCGTACTGATGCCGGAGCCGGAAGATGACGTCATCTTCCGGCTCCGGCATCAGTACGGTGCGCGAGGGAGCTGAAGAGGAAGCACACAGAGAGTGCTCCCTCGCGCGCCGGTTGGCTTTCAGGGCCAGCCTCTGGGGGGCCTTGAGGTGACCGGCTGCTGGGCCCCCCAGGAGAAGAGGCTGGCCCTGTGGGTACATACCGGGTTGCAGGACCCCCTGCGACCGGTATGTACCCACTGCATGAGGGGGCCCGGACGACCTGAGCAGTCCGGGCCCCCCAGGACCGCCGGGCCCATGACAACCGTTGCGGTTGTCATGCCCTGATGGCGGCCCTGATTGTCTAGAACCGTGTCTTATTGCATCTTGCGGTCATTATCCATTAAAACATACATTTGTTTCACAGCCTGGAAACCTGGTTGGCTCCATATACTGCAGTCAGATTCTTGGCTAGTCCAGGCCTTTATAGTACTGAGACCATGTTCTATCAGTTTACATATAAACCCACCCAGTGCTAGACTAGACATTGCCCTACACAATTCCTGCTCGCTGCCTCAGTCCTGCAGTACTTTGCTAAAACCAACCCAAATATCCCATAATGTACTATATGTCTGTAGACCCCAAACCCTGCATGCCAGTAATCCTGGAGAGAAGGGTGCAATTGCTCCCATTTCTGCCTTTCCTGAGAATTTGACTTTTATTTTAGAAGGAATCAACAGTTATATATTGACACCTCTCACAACCAACTTTGGGATGTGAGATTGTAGCTGTCCTTGACAGAATTGATTGTAGGGACCGCCAAGACAAGTAATAGGGGACTGAACTCTCTGCTTTGGGGAGAAAGATGCTAGAACCCTTGTGTGTCTCCACAGCTCCCTAATGTCTATCCAATCTACATAGGCGTGCGCACTGGGTGTGCTTGGGCAATCCCCGCGGCACGCCTATGTTTATTGAGACCGGCAGGGGAGATCTCAGGATCCCCCCTGTCGGCTCATGCAGAGCCGGCGCTATCCGAGCGCCGGCTCTGCTCTCAGCCTCCCTCACCGACCCACAGGCAGGGAGGGAGGCAGGAGAGGACCCGGGGAGCTCTTGCCAGTAGCTCCGCCGGGTTCCTCTCGCAGGATTCTGAGCGTTGCCGTGGCAACGCTCAGATCTCGCGAGAGTGAACTCTAGCCCCGCAGGCTAGAGTTCACTCTCCACTGAACCACCAGGGATGGAAGCAGCAGAAAGGATCCCAAGGTAGGAAGGGAGGGGGGATATTTACTAAACGGCCCCCACACAATACACACAATCACCCAAACATACAGCACCCACATACAGTACCCCCCACACACAGCATCTACACACATACAGCACACACACCCTTACACACACACACTAACAGCACCCTTACACACACAGCACCCTCACACATACACACACACAGCACCCTCACACGCACAGCACCCTTACACACACACACTAACAGCACCTTCACACACATAGCACCCTTACACACACAGCACCATCACACATACACACTAACAGCACCCTCACACACACACTAACAGCATCCTCACACACATACAGTAACAACACCCTCACACACACAGCACCCTCACACACACATCACCCTCACACACACACTAACAGCACCCTCACACACACATCACCCTCACACACACACTAACAACACCCTCACACACACACACACTAACAGCACCCTCACACACACGCACTAAAAGCACCCTCACACACACAGGACCCTCACACACACACACACACTAACAGCACCCTCACACACACACACTAACAGCGCCTTCTCACACACACACAGTGCCTTTACACACACACACACAGCGCCCTTACACACAGCGCCCTTACACGCACAGCGCCCATACACACACAGCGCCCTCACACACACACAGTGCCCACACACACACAGCAGTATATGTTTGTGCTTTAGGGTGCACACCCTTATACAATAGGCTGCGCACGCCTATGCCAATCTATGTCCCAACCCCTTATTTGTCTCTCTTACACCCTCCCTTCTCTGTGTGTCTCTTTATCCTTTGTTGTCTTTCCAACCCTCTCATTAACCCTTGGGTTTCTCTCCAGCTTCTTAATCCCCATGTACCCCACTCCATCCACACGTCCTTCCGATTGTGAGTCTCCCCAGCCCCCTTACCCTTTGCGTTTCACTTTACCTTCTCCATATCTGTTCATGTTTCTCTGGTCTCCCCCACTCCTAATGTATCTGCAAACACCCCCATCCCCTTGTGTGTCTCTTCAGCCCGCCTATTCCATTTTTTGTCTCTCCAGCCCTCACCTACTCCCTTGATACAATCCAATACCCCCATCTATCAATATTATAGTAGGATCCGCCTGTCCCTCTAGGTTTTGTCAGAGCTGCTCCAAATGGTGTGCTGAGTGTACAGTGTACAAGTCGGGATCCCTCCCTGGAGCATGAATACCTCAATCAGTCTTTGAACAGTGCAAAAATTAATCTAAAAATGTGCCGGCGAGAGGAGGAAGCTGCAGAGAATCGATATGCCTAACGCATTTCACGCCCTGTGGAATGCCTTTAGTTTTACAATGTAATAATGATTGGGACCTTTAGTGTGTTCACACCTGTTTATTTTGTAGACAATAACTATGATTTGAATTCTACTTGTATTTTGTTTGGCTGAAGACAATAAGCAGCCAATTACAATACAGCTGAATTCTATCTATTTCATTTGTTTTTTCCTTGCAGTTCCAATTACCAACATGAGCTAAACTGCGCTGCATATTGAAGCAATAAAAGTCAGAACAGGTAAGTTGTATAACATTGACAAGGAATTATCTCAGGTATTGGTTCATACAAAATCCAATTTTATTAAAGCATTACTGTCCAGTAAAGCAAGTGATATATCTACATCTGATCGCAGGTGCCTCACAGTCAGGGTACCAAGGGATACTCTATCACAGAGTGAAATATTGCTCGGCTTATTTGTGGTTTATTACAGAGTTACAAAAATAATTCGTACTGCTGCAGAATATATCTTAGTTTGTGAATCTTCACAGGTCTTGATGTTGATTGATGTTGGGTATAAACCACCTGGCAACACTGTTATTCTATCCAATGATTAAGGTCCTTCCACTCTCTGTTAAGACAGATTTATAACGTTGGCACAGCAATAACATTTAATTCTGAGTGAAGTAGAAAACTTTTTGTTTCTCACAAATACCAAAATTTATTTAGCCATCAAAATAATGTTTTGTTTTAAAAAGACGCAGCTCATACAGACGTTTGGCTTATTTGAGATATATATATATATATATATACTAAACCCCCATTATCTTTTGCCCTGGTGAGGTGTTTTTAAATAAAACTATTACAATCTCTTAGATTTGAAATCATTGTTTAATGAATAAGCGAGTGCGCTGGATTGTGTATTTTGTATATTTTGGCCTGAGCAGCACCCTATAATGTATGCATGTTCAGGTGAGTGCAGCCGTCTTGGTTTCATTTATATTTATGGGAGTCCAGACCGACTGCTGGGTTTTGCACCCCTCCCTGTCACAGGTGCCTCATTCCAGGACCCTATTTAGCCTTGACTTGCAGAGAGTCCCAGTAAGGAAGTATTTCCCAAGTAAGTGGATTGATCTCATAAGAGCAATCATTAGCCTGCTAGGATAGGACCTGCCAAGAATGGGGTACATTGACGGTGCGGCAGACTTATGCAATATATGATCATATAATGTAACTAAACCCCCATTATATTTTGCCTAGGTAAAGTGTTTTTAAATAAAACTATTACAATCTCTTAGATTTGAAATCATTGTTTAGTGAATAAGTGAGTGCGCTGGATTGTGTATTTTATATATATATATATATATATATATATTCATATATATATATATATATATACATATATATATATATATACACACACACACACAGAGTAAAATTTTTCAGTTCGTAACATATACTGTGCAATCGTATAATAACAAAAATAAGAGAGTGGCTCTTAGAAACTGAGTCAAGACCGGAAATGGGCCCAGTGTGAATTTAGTGTGTCTCCATTGGTAGAACAGATATTTTATATTCGTCAGTCTTAGGGTAGGTTCCCATAATGCTTTCTTTACGGTAGCAGCATTGCCTTCACATTGGGGGCAGAGTCTAAATGTTTTACTGTTTTAACATTAATTTAAGGATATTACACCTGAAGAATATTTAGTTTTTTACATAATTTGGGTCCCTGACAAAACAAATGTTAGAACCATGGATTTAAGATACTTAAACTCTAAAAACATACAATATTGACGTCTTCCACCCTAGCGGCACTTCTTGAGTATATGCAATGCAATATTTTTAACTGCGAGCATAGTCTCTGTACAGGTTGGCTTGATGAGGGACTCTGGTAGAAGAAATCCATAGTATCCAGTGTCACGAAGCTCGAATGCGAATGTATAGGGTATGCCATTATTGTAGGCCCAATCAATAGAGCTGCCTGAACTCAAGTCTAAAAGACAGAGAATACATGGAAAAAGAATGTTATAGCACGGAATCATACAGGATAGAAAGATATGATATGATGTTTTATTAAGGAGCAGACTCCCGGGAGCAATGGGCAAGGTAGGGTAGACCCCAGCCTAGTAGACCCAAGCCTAGAAAGCAGCTATTGCTTCTTATGGATATTATTTCCTACACATTTAGACATAGAGTGAGTCAAGAGTCACGAGGACAAAGAAAGCAAGGGCTTGAGTTTTACTTGTACTTAATTTATGGTAAGAAATTTAATAGAATTCGTGCAGGATTGACATTAGAGGCGAAGACGAGGAAATTGGATTTTTCAAAGACAGCATTATGTCATGCGCAAAAAGACCAATCTTATGTTCTATGACTCCAACTGCAATGCCCTCTATTTCTATACAATAACAAATCATTTCAGCCAAGGGTTCCATTGCCAGCACAAAGAGAAGCGGTGCCAACCCCTGTCTGGTCCCGTTAGACAGTGCAAAACTATCTGATGCAAATCCGGAGCGGAGACCTTTGCTGTTGGAGAACAATTAAGAGCAAACACTGCTCTGGTGTAGGGTTCTGGTAAGACAAATCACGACATAACTTCTTTTAAAAAGTCCCAATGGATTTTATCAAATGCCTTCTCCGCATCCAAAGAGAGGAGCAGAGAAGCCATTCTATTAAGCTTAATTTGGTGGATCAAATTAATGTATCGTCTCGTACTGTCCGGGGCCTGACAGTTCAGGATAAAACCCACCTGGTCTTTGTCTATTAAGAAAGAAGAATTTGTGCAAGTCTTAAGGCCAATATTTTTTAATACATTTTGGTGTCATTAATTAGGGATATGGGGTGAAAGTTTTAACAAACATTTTGTTATTTACCAGGCTTGGGCAGCGATACAATCTGTGCACACAAGGCCTCCCCAGGCATTTCACAAGTTTTCCAATAATGGCTAAATAGATCTGTTAAATGTGGGGTTCAAACGCCTGAGAAGGACCTATAGTAAGACATTGTGTAACCATCAGGTCCTAGAGCTGTAGCAGTTGGTATTTAATTAATGGCATGTAGTACTTCTTCTGACGACATTGGTAAGTCAAGAGTATTTAATTTGTCGGCCGAAATCTGTTTCAAAGGAACTTTATCCAGAAATGAACAAATTCTATCTGATGTAAATCTGCACTGGTCTTGATGTTGATTGATATATTTATTCTGGCACAGCCTTTTGTGTGACCAGTCTACAGATCCATGCTGAGCATTGTATGTTATAATCACACAGTGCTTTGTATGTGATAAAATTAAATCAGCCTCTGATCTGAAAGAGATCTTTTTTTAAACAAGATTTCTAACAGTATTACAAAGTCTATTAGTGCAGATGAATTAATGTATGATGTGACCAGTCTTTGTATTTCTCTATAGCGATGTTTTAACATGTCCGCACAGTTATTGGGTCTCTATACATTATTTATACATGCTTATATGTGGTTCGGTTTATATCTGTACAGAGCAATGTATGTTTTTATACTTCGGCTGGGCAGTCTTTATATCGTCACTGAGTAGTAGACGAAGTTGGAATTTCCAGCATATTTTCAAAGAGCAACTGAACCAACCATTATATCTGCACTTTATATCTGTATCCCCTGGTGTGTCTATCTGTCACTGTTGGCTTGGAACATTATAGGGCTGCTTTAATCCCAGTCTGGCCACAGCTCATCGTAAGGTAAGTAGGATTCTCAGGCCAGTATGATGTGTGACTAAACTGACAATGTGCAGAGAAAACCTTAACAAGGAGTCTTATCATTTCAGCTTAGTGAATAACGAAAAAAAAGATCAATATTTTCTAAAGAACAGACAGACAGAGAGCAGCACAAACAGAAAACAAATATTATTTTCCTATCAAGTTTCCTAGGTGACAATATAGTTGAATCATATTGCATGATTTCATCACACCAAAATTTAAATTACAGGGCTTATTCAATAAACTGCAAATTCTGGTGAACTGATAAGATGGCTTACGTTTTAGGCATAAATAGCAGAAATTGAACCATTGGAGGAATGTCCACAATTCTTTCTTTGATGACAAACCCACCAGAAGCAACCCTCTACTTGGTTAATAAACCCCAGAGACAATCAGAAACACTTACATAAGGTGCTTGATGCTGGGCCGTGCTGGTAAAGGACACCGTAAGCTGTTTGTAGAGCATGAACTGCGTTAGATGCTGCTGATGCCTGTTCCGAAGAAAAGAAAATTAAATATGATGGAATTTGAAAGGTGTAAGATTTTGACTTAATTGTATATGATCTGTGTAATCCAAGGAGTGCAATATCTTACTAAAAAGCCATTACAACACCTGAGCATTTACCCTCTGTTATTTCCAAACAATTAGATTGATGACAAATATATTTAAAAGAGAGTGCCTCTATATAGTTAATGCTGTTTATATTAATTGTGTGGAAAGCATATATGTTATCACAATAATATTCAGAGATATTAGAAAAATCACTGTAAATCTTGATTCAGATGTACCAATATCATATATATTAATTCCATGTGTTTACATTAAAAATATAAGTCAATTAAAACAGCAGTGATGATCAAATTAAAACCCCACCCACACCCCAATCAACGGGGAGTAAAACATAAATTGGATATGGGTCATGCTATGGTGCCCTATTTGCATGTATATTTTATTCCAACACCACTTTGTTTCATGTGAAAATATTCTCATATTTACTAAAGCCATATTTGGAGGAGGACCTAGTGTTCCCCCCAGACACCGCCCATGAGATATACAGGCCATCGGGCAAGCCAGGCAAAAGGCTGCAATGGCCATGGGATCTCCCCTGAGTGGCTAATCTGCAAGTAGTTGGGATCTCTGCAAGCAAACATTATCGGCAGACAACTTGTAAAAAATTAGCGACAAGGTTGAATATCAGTCGGTACTTAAAAAAACATTCTGCTCACCTTAACAACTTTATCCAAATGAAGTTGTTTTGATGCCAGGAGGACCCCAGGCAGTCTCTTACCTTAAGTGTTAAACCGTTTCTATCACCTCAGGATCTCCAGATCCCCCAGCAGCATCCAGCTTCTGAAACTGAGTTTCAGTAAACGCAGAGAGCTGCCAGGCAGGGGAGCCACTGATTGGCAAGAGCGGTCAGCATATGCACTAAGCCAGTCAGTAGCTCCTCATTCACAAAAAATGTATGTACCTGGTGTTGGAAATCCAGAGTGGAGGCAGCCTTTGGAGTTAAACCATTTGAGAACAGTTTAACCCCTTAAGATAAGAGAACACCCCGGGGGCCTCGCCTCACCATAACAACTTCATTAAGATGAAGTTGTTATGGTGACCACAGTGTTCCTTTAATAGCCGCTACTAGCCAACATCAGAGAAACTGCTACGTTTATGAATGGGTTAAGCCTTCCCCTATTTCCTCTAGCGGCTGTCTCATTGACAGCCGCTAGAGGCGCTTGCGTGCTTCTCACTGTGATTTTCACAGTGAGAGCACGCCAGCATCCATAGGAAAGCATTATGAATGCTTTCCTATGTGACCGGCTGAATGTGCGCGCAGCTCTTGCCGTGCGTGCGCATTCAGCCGACGGGGAGGAGAAGAGGAGGATCGGAGGAGGAGAGCTCCCCGCCCAGGTAAGATTTTACCCCTTTCCCCCTTCCAGAGCCGGGTGGGAGGGGGACCCTGAGGGTGGGGGCACCCTCAGGGCACTATAGTGCCAGGAAAACGAGTATGTTTTCCTGGCACTATAGTGGTCCTTTAATAAAAATGTCAACATGTAAATAAAAGAAAGACTTACCACACAGTGGTAATTCGGAATGGCTTCATACTGATAAGAGTATGGGTAGAGCAACATCTGGGCATACGAGTGAATTGAGAGGTATGCCCTGATGTGTTTTCTCTGCTTGTAGAGAAACTGTGAAGCTGCTTGGACCTCTGGTTCAGACTCTGCATAGGGCCCACAGTATGTGTTATCACATGGATGCAATGAAGCACCTTCCTCTGTTTAATGGGAAAAAATAAATAAAATAGACAGTTAATCTATGAATAACCACTGTACAGCTATACAGGAGACTAACAGAGATACAGGGTTTTCCCAAAAGCGAGAATTCAAAGTGAATTTCAAATGTAAGGTCAAAATAGCCTATATGGAAAAGGTTTCTAAAATACCCAGATTAAATACCAGTTAAAAAAAATGGTAAATTACTCTTTTGATTTTGCAGATTATATAAAAAAAAAATCCTCATTTTCTTCTTAACATATAAATAAATACAAACATTTAATCATCAAGAAAAAAACAAACAAAAAGACAGCAATAGTGCAATAATTACTAATAGTGATGTCCCGAACGGTTCGGCGAACATAAACATGAACTTTGACCCTGTACCTCACAGTCAGCAGACACATTCCAGCCAATCAGCAGCAGACCCTCCCTCCCAGACCCTCCCACCTACTGGACAGCTCACTAAGAATGCAGCTTCACAATGAATGTAAAATGGATGCTGTCCAGGAGGTGGGAGGGTCTGGGAGGGAGGGTCTTCTGCTGATTGGCTGAAATGTGTCTGCTGACTGTGAGGTACAGGGTCAAAGTTCATGTTTATGTTCGCCGTCAGTGGCGAACTGTTCGGGACATCACTAATTACTAACACTAACACCAAAAGGTTGGGGATTATATTGCACTCAAAGACTTAAGTATGGCAATAATGGATATAATAATACATAATAACAACAAGTAGAATGGTAACAATAAAAAAATAAAACCTTTTGGTGTTAGTATTTATTGCACTATTGTGGTCTTATTGTTTTGTTTTTTTTCTTGTAGATTATAGCTTTGTATTTATGGTGAATCATCTATGCTTTCAGTTTGGCTACTTTGACTTTACATTTGAAATTCCCTTTGAGTTCACTTTGAGATCTCATTTTAGTAAGTAACCAGTCTTAGAAATAGTTTCAAAGCTCTGACTTATTCGGTTAATTTAATGGACAGAAATGTTTTTGACTTTATGTAGTAACAGTCATTGCAAAGCACTATTGATTCAATAAAATATATATTACTAGATGATAAAATGCTTTGTAATTGCATATGCATCACAAGACTAATAAGATTGCTATAAATTACAAATAATAATAAGATAAGAGAGGCCAACATCAGATCATTGATTATATGATTGTATGCTGTGCATTATTGATCAATCCACAACAGAATGTGCTTTTGTGAGAATTCTTCATTTTGCCATAATCAGACTCGAAATGATTCTATTGTATATTTCCTGATAAGCAGGTGAAATACAGTAGATTGTTTGTGGCTTGTTTCAACCTCTTTGACCTGGACAGTGAACCTGATACAATTCACAGGACAGTTCCTGGTCTAGAATTCCTGTGCATGTATCATGCTTACTTGTTTTATAACAGAAGGCTTTCATTCTGTCTGAGCAATTGACGTACTACTCATCAGTCCCCAGAAATGTTATTATGGACTGCTAATGAGTCTATCAGGCACTCATGTCTATACCAGTAGATATTTATTTATTCTTTAACAGTTACATTATATTTGTTGCTTGTCTCTGTTTGTGCGGATGCAAATTGCATTTTTACTGAATACAGGGTGGTATATAAAGGATTTTTCTCATAACTACAGTCAGAAAGTTCACAATGCAGCGGAATAGGGAGCCACGACAACCCAAGCCTCTGAAGATGAATACAGAGACTAGCTGTTTGTACAACTCCTTATACACACACAAGGCAACCCCTATTTTTTTTAACTAATGGTGTTAGTGGGGGCCTCATGTTTGAGGTTCGCCTAAGGCCTCGCAAAGTCTAGAGTCGCCCCTGTATGACAGCCACTATAGAAGGAGCTAACTATAGAATGTAAACATTGCAGTTTCTCAAAAATTCCTTGCTAGCTTCCAGGAACACATCAGGCCCAGCCCAGAGCAAAAATGCGGTGACCACTCTTCTAAGGCTTCTCTCTAGCCTATTCAGACCTTGGCTAGCAATGCCAGTTGGAAAGGCCATAAAAAATACACACAAATATACACAGCATTGCCAGGTATGGAATGCAATCCTGCTGTATCGACACACTGCTTAAATATAAGAGGAGTACAAGCCTTTTCTCCTCAGGCCGCCTAACAAACCACCAAGATAGTGATTGGCTGGTGGTTTTAGTGTGTGTCTCCAACACAGGAATGATTTCTTTAAAAAGGGAAAATATTTTTCAAGAGTTTCTAAAGGGATACCCAAGTATCTAAGGTCTGTATTATGCGAAAAAAGCATCCTTATTTTCTTGCACAATGCCTTATGCATGTTTTTTTATGTATTTATTTGGTAATTCTCATATGAATGAGTAGCACGGGTGACAAGTAGTGATGTCCCGAACGGTTCGCCGAACGGTTCACGAACGGTTCGCCATGAACGGTTCGCCACAAACTCATCATTGAATAAACTTTGACCTTGTACCTCACAGTCAGCAGACACATTCCAGCCAATCAGCAGCAGACCCTCCCACCTCCTGGACAGCATCCATTTTGAAGCTGCATTCTTAGTGAGCTGTCCAGGAGGTGTGAGGGTCTGGGAGGGAGGGTCTGCTGCTGATTGGCTGGAATGTGTCTGCTGACTGTGAGGTACAGGGTCAAAGTTTACTCAATGATGAGTCAGTGGCGAACCGTTCGAGGCGAACCGTTCGGAAAATCACTAGTGACAAGCTTTCACCTTGTTACGTCTTATAGTACATGTGGACTAACCTCATATGGAGATCAGTCTGCAGGTATAGTCTCTGAATTCCGTGAAGTGTTTTATCATAATTCTAATACAAACTGGAAAAAAGCCACAGCCCATAGAGTATTATCATCCATTAGTCCATTTGAAAGGAAAATCTGATTTATCATATTAAGATCTTGCTATAAATAAGTATATTTTTTAGAGAAATGTAATAAAACATGTAATGTTTTTCCATTTACAGCAAATCTGCATAAACCAGGAAGCAGATTAGATTTTTCAACCAATCGTGTTTCTCCATTGATTCACATTGAATGCTGTGCATATCCCATAATGGCTGCATAATTCAGAAATAGGCAGTAGTTACATTCATGAAAATACATGAATGATGCACGAAGCAAGCAAATAGAAGCATTTCATGGTTTCTATCACTTTGCAGAATACCTTTATTCATGTTTTCTCATGAAGAGTGATAGCAGAAAGCGCACAGTATGTTTTGTAAAATGAAGTGAAGTCATCTGTTATGTGCACATGGCATGCATGGTTTAATCTATAAGAACAGAAGGAAATATGGACAAAGAACAGGACATGTGACATAAAATAGCCTTTAAATGGGCCAACTTACCGCACCATTTCACTTTCCAGTTCCGATTGGCATCCACCCCAAAGCAATTGAACCGATATTTCGATCGTGTTTTTCTCCAGAAACGATCCTGATGAGTTCAGAAACAACAGTTCTGAAAATTGCACAAATGTAGGATTCTATATCCAATTCTATATCCAACAATAAAGCAAATGGGTACAAAGCTTGTCTTCCATACACCTACACACGTGCAATAATATGCATTTTTTAAAGTCATGAACAGAGCTTTTTAAAACTGTCCTTATTTAACATGGAAACCAATGGAGTAAATCTTGCTTAATACTCCACTTTTACAACTTTGCAAAAAAAAACAACAATCCAGCTGTGTTTCTGCATTACTTATGCTTCTGTAAACCAGTATTTATTAATATATTCTCCAGCGATGCCGGCGTCATTGTGTTTCACTTACTACAGAACTCATTAGTTATATACTGCCTGCTCTACTGACAAAGGCAAGGGAAATGTTCCAAGTTACTGTCTAATTCCATTTAGATATGTTAGACCACTGCAATTGTGCAGCCTAAACAGGAAGGAGGAAATAAATTCAGAACACTTGACAACAGACTGGCTAGCTTAATGTAAAATACACTGGTTCAAAAAAAACATACCTAACCCTGCTGTTATCGTGTATACTTTACAAGCGATTTTGTCAGTTCCACGCAAGTCATTGTTGAACACATCCTCAATAATTGATCATGCACATTATGGATAAATTAGTGTGGTGTATAATTTACCTTATAAATAATATTTATAAAATGCCATTTTTCCTTAACTATACATACACAAATTGGTGTCAGAAGTTTTGGGTTGCAATTGGACGGAACGGAGATGACAGGTAAGAGGATCTTTAAAGTCCTTCTTTACCTACTTCTCCCATCCCCCACACATTGCATTTGTCATTTAAATGGGGGTTTTCACTATTTAAATGTTTATTTAAAGGTATTCTCACTGTATAACGTCTTTGGTAGACATGGTATTTTTTTTAAGTCTAAGGTAGACTTCTATTACTCCTTGGGTTGGAGGAAAGCCTTTGGCAGGCAGTATTGTGCTCAATTGTCTATGGTAGACAATTCCTCTTTGGTAGAGGTTCACCTTTGGCAGGTGGTAAAAAGATTTTCAAGCCTTTGGCTAATTAAGAGGTTAATTAAGGGGGGCTACAAATTCTAGAACTAACATGATTTCTCTGCATGTATGTTTGTTTGCATAATGAGCCCTTTATTTTTATACTTGGACAAAAGTACTATAAGCCCACTACACTTTTTCATGAGAGTGGGATTTATGATTGTTTATATGATGAGCCCTTTATTTCATATTGGGACAAAAAGTCACTTCATTCAAATGTCAAACACCACATTTTTTCTGCCCTGTGTGTTTGTTGCAGAGAATTTAGGTTGTAAATGTAGATGTTTATAAATTAGAGAGCAAAATGTACAATTGTTGTATGGGGATGATGAGATTTTATTGCTTGTGACCCAAACTGTGCAGAAGTGGGTTTGAAATTTTGGTCATGGAATGTAGGATCAGAAAACCATGGACAAAGGTTTTTACCTGTGTTGTTATGACTTTTGGGAACTCAAATTGACCGGTCAAAATTTTGACATTCCTTTAACATGGAGTAGTATAAATATTTTGAGTCTTTGAGAGTTCTGACAAATGCAGGTGATACCATGTCTGTGTAATCTGGTCCAAATGTTCTATAAGCGCATAAGAGAGAAATTCTATTGACAGGGTACATATGTTGCAACTGGTTAACGCAAGTGTTATACAAATGTTTAAGTCAAACGCGCTATATGGCCGTACGGGATCCCTTCTTTAAAAAAAACAAAAAAACCTTTGGTACCAGAAATCTTAAATAAATTTGATACAAACTAAAATTTTGTATCAAATTACAATAATATGTTCTAAATACAGCTGTTGAAAGTTTATTCTGTGTTAATGGTGATTGTGATAAATGTCTGTTTTGGTTACTCATTTTGAAGTGTGCAGTTTAATTGTCATGTATGTTAATGGGTATTTTGCTGTGTTATTTTAAATTATATTTGAATAAGTTTGTCTCAGTATTGATACAGATGGAAATGGCAGCGTAATAATCTATTAAATAACTGATTTATTATTGAATACTGGCTGAAGAAACTGAGATGCTTACTTATGAGGACGTAAACTAACTTGGAAAGTCCTGAAGGTGCAGTGCTGTCTAATGCCGCTATTTCTGTATTAAACCTTTCAACAATTGGGGTGTTGCACAGAGTATTGTGGTGAACATCCTGCAAACAGAAGAATTAAGAACTATGTGGAAGCTGACATTGTCTTGTTGTCAGCCGTATTGCTACCCTTAGCTATGTTATGGTGTCTAAGATTATGGAACAAAGTTTATAGTGTCTAAGATTCTTTATACTCCTTGAAAGACTTATTCCATTTTTCTGGACTATGCTGGACTATTGAACTATTTTGTTATTTTTATTTTTGTAGAGTTAGCCGGAGAGAGAGGAAGTGTTAGCTTACTCAGGCATAGATGTACTATGTGTGTCATTGATGTATGTTGAGTGTACCAAGGATGGATTCCCATGTATTAAGTGTGGATATGACTAAGTGTGGATATGACTAATCAATAGGGATGTGATTAGGATTGGGATTATTGTTAGAATTTCAAGCTGATTATAAGTTATCTCATGATTTCATATGTAAATGGGGCTTTTCAAACTAATCAAGAAGTGTTTCCCAATCCCGATACCCGAGCTATTTACTTACAAGTGCGGGTTTTATAAGTCACTAGTGCTGTCAACATGAGGGGATGACATGTCTACACAGTCATGGCCCTCACTCAGGGTTTCCCCAGATGTGCTTTTTTTCTCAAATATGAGTTTTTGCCACTGGGGTTTTTTGACCTGACCCCAGATCACCGGGTGGACTGGTAATCCAAGACCCTGGTCCAAAGAGGGGGATAGATATTATTCCCGTTTTGACTATATGAGCTTACATTATGAATTATAATAATAATAATATTCCTGTTGTTGGGAATAATACACTTTGCCTGTATTGACCCAAGGCTCAAGCTACAGATAACATGATGTTCAGTCTGTTTAAAAATGGTTAACATGTCAGCTGTTTGAAATATTTAACTTGTACGCTTAAAAGATGGATTCAACAGATAATTGAAAAAGCTGAAAATTGACAGCTCGAACTCCTATGAAAACCTATGGCACAGAGCAAATGGGAGAAATCAAGGTGAAGAAATAATGAAAGTCCCGCAGACGTGATTAGCACGTCTGAATATACGTCCTTTCGTTTCTCTGCCGCATGCCTCCAATGGATATTTTCCATAAGGTAGATAATGATATGATCTAAGAGGGGAATTGTAGATATGAATATCCATTTCACTATCTATCCTAGCTGTTCATATAAGGGTTAATTTGAACCAAGAATAAATTTGGAATTGTATCCCCAATTCTCGGAAATAAATTTATCTAAAATCCTAGTTACGGGAAAAGTACTGATTTCGAAATGTTCTTGTTAATTGTCCAAGATTTTGGTATTTGTAAATATCTGTTTTTTATAAAATATACGTGCGTTATATAATGTAGGATAACGAGAAACAGCTGCTCATAACTTGTGAAAAACAATCTATGTCATTGTCATCATTGTCACACCCATATGCTCATTTTCCCCCCTCCCATCCGGCTTTGAAAACGGGGTATAAATATAATTGACGTATGAATAAAATTTGAATTGGTTATTGAACACGTCTCTGCTATTCATTTCCAATTTCCAGAGCTCTGAATGAGTTGGCAAATATCCATCATCCAGAAAGGGCCCGGGCTGATTTTCTCCCCAACAAGTATCACTAAACTGAATGTGCCTGAAATACGTTCCAACAATTCCTACATTGTTCAGTGTAAGCATTTTTCTGGGGATTGGGGCTAGAAAGGACATATTTTTGCAGATGATAGACCCTTGATATTAAAGTGAAGCTACAGTCACCAAAACAACTTTAACTTAATGAAGTAGTTTCAGTGTATATATCATGGCCCAGTAGTTGGACTTCTCAATTTTCTGCTATTTAGGAGTTAAATCACTTTGATTATGCAGCCCTAGTCATACCTCCCTGCATGTGACTTGCACAGCCTTCCTAAATAGTTCCTGCAAAGAGAGATCTAATGTTTAAACTTCCTTTATGGAAAAGTATGTTTCATTTCGCTTGTCTTATCTCCTGCACTGTTTATAGCTTGCTAGATTTTGCAGGAGACTGTTGTATGTGATTAAAGTTCAATTTACAGAGCAGGAGATAACAATCTTAAAAGTTAACATCTAATTGAAAATGAAACCATTTTGTTCAAGCAGCCTTTGTCAGTCACAGCCAGGGGAGGTGTGGCTATGGCCACATGGACAAAAACAAGAAATTATTGAACTAATAAATGGCAGAGAATTGAGCAGTGAGACTTCAGAGGCGTGATCTAGACACAATAACTGCTTCATTAAGCTAAAGGTTGTTTTGGTGATTATAGTGTCCCTTTAAATGTATCTGTAAAAAAAGGGTTAAACTATTATGTCAAAGAACATGTATGTATGTATGAAATTATGTATAGTTTTACAGGGACAATTTAACCTAACTATTACAGTTCACTGAAGTGAGTATAGAGCAAGGTGCATGTGGTGCCACAACCCTCACCTCCCATCATCTTTTGTTATCTTGCTTAAAAATGGTTTAGTAAAAATACTCTTTGCACCATTATAACTAGATAAAGCTGTAATGGTTATGGTATTTTGTGTGTCCCTTTAAGGATAAAGATCTTTATGTATTTGACAGAAATGATTAATGGAGCATGAAATGTATAATAAATGGAAATAAATTCAATGACACAGCAGATTTCCGATTGCAAATGGAAACCGAGGAAATCCGAAGAATTAATGAAGAGTGATGGAAATTGCATCCATAAGGAATTTTAATTGTGAGTGTGACAAAGTCAATTAAATTATGCTACAAGTGATAATTTGCATGCGTACAATACAAATACCTAATTCAAACAATATAAGGAATCCTATGGTTCCTAAGGTTAAAAATACATCCCTCATTAATTAAGTTATCTGTTGGGGAAATATATTGTTGTGACTTTGCCACAATAGCATGTTTAAGGCAACTGCCTGATTCTCGTTTAATTAACCCCGATAAATAGAGATAAAACAACTTTGAACATTTGAACAAAAGGATTGGAATGCCTGGTGTGCAATTAGTGTGGAAATAATGTAAAACAACACAATTTCCAACCAAGGAGGCAGATTCGGGGGCAAAACGCACCAGTATTTGCATTAATTATAATAATAATTAGGAACATAGTAATCTAAACTTAACTGGCTGTGGCCTTAATTATCACTGTGAACGAAAAACACAAACAAGTGATGTGAATTAATGACAAACAGCGCAGTATGATTGTGAGGGTTTATACGTATCTACAATATATATGACTAATACCACAATGTACCTACTCCCAATATACATCAATGTATCTGCTCCCAATATACATCAATGTATCTGCTCCCAGTATACAACAATGTAACTGCTTCCAGTGTCCATCAATGTACCTGTACCCAACATACAACAGTGTACCTTCTCACAACATACAGCAATGTACCTTCTCACAACATACAACAATGTACCTGTTCCAGTATACAGCAATGTACCTTCTCCCAATATACAGCAATGTACCTGCTCCCAATATACAGCAACATACCTTCTCCCAATATACAGCAATGTACCTTCTCCCAAAATACAGCCATGCACTTTCTCGCAATATACAGCAACGTACCTTCTCCCAATATACAGCAATGTACCTGCTCCAGTAAACAGCAATGTACCTTCTCCCAACATACAGCAATGTACCTGTTCCAGTATACAGCAACGTACCTGCTCTGCCTCCCGGTATACAGCGATGAACCTTCTCCCAACATACAGCAATGTACCTTCTCCCAACATACAGCAATGTACCTGCTCCAGTATACAGCAATGTACCTTCTCCCAACATATAGCAATGTACCTTCTCCAGTATACAGCAATGTACCCGCTCCCAATATACAGCAATGTACCTACACCTACTATCGAGCAATGCAGATGCTCCAAATGTACAGCAATGCACTTACTGTCCCCGAAGTTATAATGTACCTGCACCCCTATACACAGACATGACTATTACTACTAACATACAGTAATATGTGCGATTATTACAAAAATGATATTTAATTATATAACTAGTATTTCATTCATCAAAATGCACTCCTTAAAAATAATCATGTGTGACACTTACTGTTGTCCAGCTATAATGGTAGCCATCTACATTAAACACTGGCATGATATAGACATTCAGAAGAGTGAGGATTTTTTTCATAGAAGGGTCAAGGTGATATGTATTAAGTGCCTAAGTAAATAAAAAATAAAAATAAAAACAACCCCTCAATGTTATGTAAAAAGATTACCGACTGTTTAAGTACATTTCAGCATTATGTATTAAATTAAATGATAAATCCGAAATCTCACACATGGGCAGTGTACTTATTGGCAGATACATAGCACATAATTAGCAGTGATAATTAGAGTTCTGTGCACTTACAATATTCTTTCTCAGACTCTACAATATCTGATTAGGAGACTTGTGCATTCAAAAATCAAAAATGGTGGTGCTGGCACTCAATTACATAATGGTGCAGGTATTAGAGGTTTTCCCCAAAGTAACCTCAATTAAATATACAAAAAAATAAATGTTAATACCGTACTCACATGCATGAAAGTGCATTAAAAAAAATGCATAAGAAAAAAAAGGAATCAATGTATAAATATGCAAAATGTAATTTATTATACATTAACTATATCTAATTCATGCAAGTAGAAAAAGAACCACTGTTACTATCGAATGCAAATTGATGATCTTCTTCATAAGTTCATCTATAATACACATAGCAAAAACTCATAGTATATACACATCTCAGACTATTTACAACTATATACAGTCCATGAATCCCATATATGTGAAGATTGGAATTCTTGAGTATTCAGGTGGAAGCAGTGATAGGAAAAATATTTGCCTGATCGGGTCAGCAGTTCTCCTGTCTCAGTCCTCCTGTCTCACGTGTCTGTAACTGGGCTGCTCGCTCGGGACGGAAGTGCAGGGGCCTTCGAAGATTTTTCCTATCACTGCTTCATTATTTCACAAGACCCTTTCCTCAGCAACTGGACATCTACAGCTTATAAGTGGTTTATATCTACAGCAAAACTACCTGTGGTGAGATCCGTCCATTTTTCTACCATCTAATTAGTGCACTTTTTTTCTTGGTTTTTGGACTTTTTCAATTTTTTATTTTTCTATTGTTTATTTATTTTGCTAGTTATTTTTTCCATTTTTTTCTACTTTTTGTCCATATATTTTTTCACTTATATTTTGTGATTCATTTTTTCTTTATTATATTTTTTATTTTTTATTATTATGCTTTTACCATTGTTTATTCAATATCACAGCAACTGAGTGGTGGATCCACCTGAATACTCAAGAATTCCCAGTTTCACATATATGGGATTCATGCACTGTATATAGTTGTAAATAGTCTGAGATGTGTATATACTATGAGTTTTTGCTATGTGTATTATTGATGAACTTATGAAGAAGATCATCAATTTGCATTCGATAGTAACAGTGGTTCTTTTTCTACTTGCATGAATTAGATATAGTTAGTGTATAATAAATACAATTTTGCATATTTATACATTGATTCCTTTTTTTCTTATGCATTTTTTTATGCACATTCATGCATGTGAGTGCGGTATTAACATTTATTTTTTTGACTTGTGCATGCAGTTTGAAATTGATTGCGGTTGGTTCGATTTTTGTTAGATCAACTATCCTCCTGATTTCCACAACTCCAAAATGCTATGTGGATGAATCATAATACAAAAAAAATGGACAGTGAACAAACAGTTTTGTTGATTCGGAGTTCCGTCCGTGGTGCCAATAGAATAGATATATGGAGGATGACTAGGGGACAGCAACTGGATGTTGTTTATTTTATTAACAGATCAAGTGAGAATTGACCAACAGAGAGGAAGACAGGCAGAGCATTAAAAAACTAATCTATATTTATGCATTATATATTTTAAAAAGATATGATTGGCACATTTTTACAGTTTTTGATTTGTCCAAATCAATATTCCTAAAAAGATTGCATGGGAGGAATTGCCCCACAAAAAATCAAATGAACGAATCCCAAATCAATTGACACATAATTAGTTTTTTGGAAGACGATTCGGCCACACCAAATTAGTTTGCAGTGTAAAAGTCAGCTCATAGATTAAAACTAGAGTGAAGATTTACCTGGAGTATACATTTTACTAAGGTTTCTTGGAGTTTAACATCTTTGATTCATGTATAAAATGGCAGAGTACAACCAGTCCAGGACATATATGTCAATAAAGAACAGACAATGCCTGCTCTTAATCTCTACCAGTACTGGAACCTGGAGCTTTGCAATTACACAGATTGAGAAATATACAAATAAATATTACTTGTGATCTATCCAATGAGCAGTAAAAGTAAAGAACCAAGTGCAAACATCCTTTATATATCTGCAATATGTATTTGGTCTTATCCTGTCTAAAAAGTCCTACTTGAGATGTGACGTGTGGCTTCCCTTTTCTTTGCAACCTCTATCAGTATTATATGCACGGCATGAGAAAGCATTCAGAGGCAACTGCACAGGCTTAAAATGACACTGTAGGCACTGTGAGTGCTTCAACTCACTCAAGTGGTTATAGTGTCTGGAGCCTCCTGGGGCTGTCCATCTACCAGCATTAAACTGTTATATAATGTTTTAATGCTAAATGAGATTCCCCATCAGCCCATTCCCTCTGTGCATCTTGGGCTAATAAGGAAGCATTAACTAGAGCAGCAATGGGCAGCTGTGATTGGCTGACAGCATCAGCTGACCTCTTTCAGTGCTGGTATGAATTGGTATGGAACATATATGATACATACCTCTTTTACAAACCACTGGCAGAACACAGGTCCAATCCATTCCCGTGCATGAATACCACAATCAATCCAAATTGCTTTCTTTCTAAATCTAGAGGCCTTTTTCCCCAACTACAAAACAAAAACAGACATTATATCTAACAAATAGCCTTGCAACTTTACAATAGGGGTAGAGAAGAAAATGTGTGTTTGAGTGGATATAAGACAAGAGCTGCAATACTTTTTCTTCAGTATATATTAATGAGGATCCTATGGCAAGAGATATGCAAATGATTGCTGCAAAAAACTTGCAAATAACTTGTGATTGGATAACTCGAGACAAGGTGCTACAGCTATTAAAGAAAATTAATGTAAATAAAGCTCCGGGGCCTGACGGTATTCACCCACGAGTACTTAAGGAGCTAAGTTGGGAAATAAGTGAACCTTTGTATTTAATTTTTCAAGATTCTTTTGTTTCAGGTGTTGTACCGGAGGATTGGAGGAAGGCAGATGTTGTTCCTATATTTAAAAAGGGTTCAAAATCCTTGCCTGGAAATTATAGACCTGTGAGCTTAACTTCTGTAACTGGGAAAATATTTGAAGGGCTATTAAGGGATAATATTCAGGAATTCATTGGGAAGAACTTTGTTATTAGCAATAATCAGCATGGTTTTATGAAACATAGGTCATGTCAAACTAACCTAATTGCATTCTACGAAGAAGTAAGTAGAAGTATAGATCAGGGTGTTGTAGTGGATGTGATCTACTTGGATTTTGCCAAGGCATTTGATACGGTTCCTCACAATAGGTTAGTCTTCAAACTAAAAGAAATTGGTCTAGATGAATATTCTTGTTCTTGGGTAGAACATTGGCTTAAGGATAGAGTACAACGAGTTGTAATTAATGGTAAATTTTCAGGCTGGACAAAAGTGGTAAGTGGTGTCACTCAGGGTTCTGTTTTGGGACCACTTCTATTTAACATATTTATAAATGATCTTGAAATAGGCATTGGAAGCCATGTATCAGTGTTTGCAGATGACACAAAACTTTGTAAAGTAATAAAATGTGAGCAGGATATTGCTTTGCTGCAGAGAGATTTGGATCGATTGGGGGACTGGGCACTAAAATGGCAGATGAAATTTAACATTGAGAAATGCAAAGTTATGCACTTCGGGGTTAAGAATGCACAAGCAACTTACACACTAAATGGTAGTGAATTAGGGGTAACCACACACGAGAAGGATTTGGGAATTGTTATAGACAACAAATTAGGCAGCAATATGCAATGTCAATCTGCAGTTGCTAAGGCCAGTAAAATTTTGTCATGTATAAATAGGGGCATAAATTCTCGGGATGAAAATATAATTCTGCCTCTTTATAAATCGCTGGTAAGACCACACCTTAAATATGCTGTGCAATTTTGGGCGCCTGTTCTACAGAAGGATATCATGGCACTGGAGAGGGTCCAGAGACGAGCTACAAAATTGATAAAAGGAATGGAGCATTTTAGTTATGAAGAAAGGTTAAAAAATTAAATCTGTTTAGTTTGGAAAAACGGCGCCTGAGAGGGGATATGATAACTTTATACAAATATATTCGGGGCCAGTACAAACCTTTATCTGGAAATCTATTCATAAACAGGGCTATACATAGGACACAAGGTCACACATTTAGGCTGGAAGAAAGGAGATTTCATCTAAGGCAAAGAAAAGGTTTTTTTTACAGTAAGAACAATAAGGATATGGAATTCTCTGCCTGAAGAGGTAGTTTTGTCAGAGTCCATACAGATGTTTAAACTGAAATTGGATAAATACTTACAAAAACATAACATACAGGGATATAATTTCTAATTAGTGGGGTAATAGCTGCTTGATCCAAAGAGACATCTGACTGCTATTTTGGGGTCAAGAAGGAATTTTTTCCTAGTTTGTGGCAAAATTGGAAGCGCTTCAGACCAGGTTTTTTGCCTTCTTTTGGATCAACAGCAACAACATCTGTGAGGAAGGCTGAACTTGATGGACGCAAGTCTCTTTTCAGCTATCTAACTATGTAACTATGTAACTCTACTAAGTCTTGCTGTACAATCCTTGTGGGAGATCCAAGAGATTATGATGAGACACTGGACTCTGAAATCTTCATAAATATATAGTTAATTTTTCTCAGTATCCTCATATTGGGCAAGACTTATAAGGACCACAAATACTTATCCATTGCTCTTGGCCTGACATTGAGAACCACCTTGAATGGTGGGTATTGGTCATATGTTTTCTCAATGCAGTTTGAAGAAGTGACTATACAATCAGAAGATTCTAACTCCTACATGTTACCGACACTGCCTGGAAATAGCTGAACGACAACAGTTACGTGTTTTCTGACAAATTAATTTCCTTCCAGATGGTGAGAGCCCATGAGTCTTGACATATGGGATAAAGTCACTCCCAACTGGAGAAGGCTCTTCAGCATCTTCCCCTAGAATCCTCAGTTTTATGTATAGCCCAACATAGGAGGAGAAAAAGCAGGAGGAAACATCAAAGTGACCAGGGCAGTTAAAGCAAAAAACAAGGCATTGGCACCTAATGAAGGGCAGTGTTTAATGGGCTCTCACCACCTAGAAGGAAATTAATTTGTTGAGTATGACACAATTTATGTTGTCTTCTCTTGAATATTGAGAGCTCACAAGTCATGACACATAGGCTCCTATAGTCAAATAGAACAAGAGGCCATCTCAAAAAATAGAAAAAGTACTGATGGTGACTAAACAGGAACAACTGCCAAGAGAAAACTGCATCAATGGATGTAAAGGCATTATTACAATAACATTTGGAAGCTGTATGCAAGGACAGTCAAGTTGCTGCTATGCATATTTGCCTCATAGAATATCAAGGTGTAACACCCACAAGGTAGCCATCACAGAGTGGACTAAACAATGACCTGATCTAGAGGAGGTTTGTTAGTCACGTCATAAGCCTTCTGGAACATAGATATGAGCCAGCTGACCAGAGTGATAGCTGAAGCCTTTTGAACCAAACTGGATCCAGAAATATTAACAAACAAGGAAGGACACTTCCTAAATACACGAACAAATTCCAAAGTATGTCACAATCATTCATGGTTAAAGGAACTACACCATAATTACTACATGCTCTAGTTGGGAGGTAATTTATCCCAAATTACGTGACTTGTGGACTCTCACCATACAAGGAGGCAAATATTCCATGATTTATTAGGGTTATTATTATTATTTATAAATCCTCAACACATTTGCAGCACTTTACAACAGGTGGACTAACAGACAAGAATTTGCAAAAAGACAAGTTGGGTGCACAGGGACAAAGAGTGCTGAGGGAGCTGCTCAAACAAGCTTACATTCTAGGGATATTAATAGTTCTCTCTTTTATTCCAAATAAAATGTTGGACATTGCTGCAATAGAATACAACTTTTCTTTTATCCACGAGCTGGGCCTTCACTTGTGCAGAATAAATGGACTATATTCAGTATTACCTTTAGCACATACAATGGTCTTCCTTCATATGATTTTCCAATAGAAAACATGGAGACAAGGTGAGGATAGGTTTTATTCATGTGATGCATCCAACGTTCAATCTAGGGGGAAAAATGGAATGCTAATTTTAACAGAGGATGTAGATTTTACTGCAGAAAATAGGATTCATTATTAACTTGAGGAATTTTAAATGTAATTACAGGAACACTCTAAGCACCATAACCCCTACAGTGCTTACATTGTTTAGTAGATATTCGCCAAATGGGACTCAAGATAGACTCCAGATACCATAACCACTTAATTCCAATAAAGTGGTTATGGTGCTTACAGTGTAACTTAAAGAAGAATAAAAGCCTACATTACCATGGAGTAAATAACTGATAAATTAAGGTGTGATTTCTATTTAAATAATCACCACATTATTTATTATTATTATTATTATTGACAGCAAATTCATAGAATATCAGTGTCTTAAAACAGTATCTCAATCATGAATTCATTGTAAATATTACTAAGTCGCGCTAGACAGGCCTGTGACAGCCAAGTGCATTCATGATGCCAGGTTTGACAGGTGCGTCATTAACTTATTATGTTCCGTATGGACATTGCAGTGTGTATGCTCCTTTAAGTCAGTGTTTCCCAACCCAGTCCTCAAGGCACACCTACCAGTCCAGGATTTAGGGATTACCCAGTTGTGTCTAAGGTGTTTTTTTTCTTCTTTGTAAAACACCTTAGACACAACTGGGTAATCCCTAAATCCTGGACTGGTAGGTGTGCCTTGAGGACTGGGTTGGGAAACACTGCTTTAAGTTACTTCTCAATAGACATTTCAGATATTGTGCGCATGTGTATACGTGCATGTGTTATTATTATCATTCTTTTGCTAGTTATTTTATACATATATTTTAGATGCAATATACCCACTAACCGATGAACAATAACTGATATAAATGTACCTACCTCATCCAGTGAATGGTATTCTTCATAATTGTATCTTGACAATGACCTACGATATCTCTGTGTTCCAGAAACATTTTGCTTTTCAATCACCTTCTGCAAATTATTTACAAGAATCCTACAGGGCAGAAAAATAATATCTCATATAATCGCAGCAGGGGACTTGCATAGATTAGTGGATATAGATTAGGGCACACACATTGGAATATTTGTTAAATTTACAGCTTGCTATCTTTTTTATATTGTTTCGAGGAGGGAGAGTTTGCTCACATAGGGAGACAGAAACCAGACGTATTAATATTTAATGATGAGAGATAATTAACTACTAGACACTTTGGAAAACAATGCAATGGACTGGAAATGCTAAGTCTTTAAAAAGCTGAATTAGGACATCACTACATGTAAATACAGTTTATTCTGCTTATATAGCAAACAGACTCACCAGTGAAGACTACAAGTCATTGCTCTGGCACCAACGATGTTAAAAAGATTTAACAGACATATGTCTAAAGAAGCGTGATCTTACGTGTGCTGTATGTTGGAATTTCTCAGGTAGGTGAGCAGTGTCTGGGAACTGTTGTTTGAAGTACGCACGTCAGTGACTGTGTCTTTCCCAATGTAGCTGAGACTACTGGGCTGCCATAAATCCACCTGCAGGAACCAACCTGTTTATATAATATAGGCAACGGTAACGCTTATCACATCAGCAATACCCATTTAAACAGAACTAATTCATCTTCTTTGTGTCCTGTGCCACTGAGGCCCAATACACAACACACTAGGCAGGACAGCCAGATGTCGCTGAACTCTAACTCCCATGAATCTTTTGGCCATATGTTCCACAAAAAAATACTGAGAATTGTAGTCCATCATACGAGTGATTGGAACAAAAGGGGCAGAATCAAGGACTACATTTAACAGCCATATCTTGTCCTTAAAATAGTGGACATGAATCAAATAAATTTTATAAAAAATAAATAAAAAAAAATAAAAAGATTTCCTTTAAGTGAATAAATTCCCAACCTCCCAGGACAAGGCCCTGCTCTAATATTTTTGTATAAGCTTTTTAAGTGATTTAATTTTTTTTGTAATAAACTGTATGAATTACTTAATATTTTTAAAAATATTAAAAAAATTATATATATTTTTTATATAATATTTTTTATATTTTAATATTTGGATTTTTTTTAAAATAAAAAGTGTATCCAGAAATATTAAATCATTTGAAAAGCTTATCCAATAATATTTAATCAAGATCCAATCTAGGCCTTCCACAAACTTGCAACGTGACTGCTTGATGCTAATGGGTACTACAGTTCATAGCCTTGAATTTCCTGTATCTGTATTATACATCTATACCTGTCTGTCCTTCTGTCTATACCCATAACATGAAAGCACACATGAGCTTATGATTACATATACAAAATAAAGATTTATGCAAAGGTTACTGTTCTTTTTTAACCTGGCCTTACCTGAAGCTTGCTGTAAAGAGCCTTTAATTCATAGGCTTCTATATCATTTTTGGGCACAATCCGTATTACTTTATCACTGTCAAAAATAGCAGACACAGGTTTAAAATTAACCACAGTCGCATTAGAGAATACAGACATCCAATCCAAGTCTGGTAAAATATATCACATGATAAGATCTTACAAAATCACATACTATATTAGAAGAAATCTGTAAAAAACTGCTCACATTGTCTAAGCTCTCAGATGCAGGCATATCTAATAGGAAATATTAGGAAGTAAGCCAGCATTGCAATCGCTGACTGCCTATTTAATATGTTTTATCACACTGAGGTTATCTGTATCCTATCACACCAAGGCTGGGTTTTAAATAGCAATTTCCCTGAAATACAGATCATTGTCATGAAATCGTATGTTATTCTAGAGAACTGATTTACAAAAGAAAATAAAAAAACATCTTTAATTAAAGGGACACTCCGAGCAACATAGCAATCTATTCTAATTGAATAGGTTATGAAGCATAACTATCTGCAAAAAAAAAATATTCCAGTTATAATACTGCAACTATAATATATTAATTTTTTCACAAATGGCAAATATTTACAATGTATCTTTGAAATCACTGTGCTCTTATCAGGCCGCAGTACGCCATCTAGTGGAGAGATTCCAAGGTGCTCAGGAGGATGTTTCATATCATGATAAAAGTAATTATTTATTTAGAGGTATATTCACTAAATACTGAGTTATGTGGGTCGTCCTGAAATTATTAAAATGTTTGTAAATTTTTTATTTTATTTTTAAAAAAAATATGAAATTGTGTAGAATTGACAATGAATTTGCAAATTTTACACCAACATTTATTTATTTATATGTATACGGAAAACAATTCAACAACTTAAAGGGACACTCCAGGCACCCAGACCATTTCTGCCCATTAACTCTGTAACTGTAAATATTGCAGTTTCCATAAACTGCAATATTTACTTTGCAGGGTTAACTCCTCCTCTAGTGGCTGTCTACTACACAGCCACTAGAGGGCACTTCTGGGTTTACAGCACAAATTTTCTGTGCTATAGCGTCGCTGGACGTCCTCACGCTATGTGAGGACCTCCAGCGCTGCTGAAATCCCCATAGGAAAGCATTGCCGCGCATGCGCATTAGGTCTCCCCCGCCACCGGCCGCCCATGCGCAATAGGTCTCCCCCACTGGATGACGTCGGCGGGGGAGGAGCGTGGGCGGACCCTGAACCAGCGCTGAGGGACATCGGCGCTGGATACAGGTAAGTCACTGAAAGGGTTTTAAACCCTTCAGCAACTTGGGATGGGGGGGTGCAGGAGGGAGGGACCGCCGGTGCAGGAGAAAACAGCTTGTTTTCCTGGCACTGGAGAGTACCTTTAAATAAATGCCTGGAATTGATATTGTGGTCTAAAATGCCCTGGTTAGCGCTCCCTGATTTTAGGTTACGTAACTAAACGTCTATATATCTGTGAGATCTTGCAAAGCAAATTCAAATCTGGTGGGCCAGGAAAAAAAAAGACTGTCAGTGGAAAGGACAGGCGCGCTACAAGTATGTGGAAAATTGTCGTTAAAACACATGGACAGATAATCCAAGTGATTGCATAATACTGCAGAAGTTTGGCTGCACATGTCAAACTATTTCCATTTTTTCTACATTTCTTCCAAGGGTAATCTAAGGGCAATGCAGTGACTTTTTAAATTGTTGAATTCTTTCGAGATACAAAATCAGTAAAGTTATAAACAAATACTTTAGTTGGATTTGCCAATATAAACTCAAGCGTAAATAATTTAAAGGTGCTTAATCCATTCATTATAAGATTTCAACATTTAAGCTAAAATAGCAAAGTTTTGTTTATACAGTAGTTGTCTGAGATTCAGTTTTTACTCTACGACCTCTACTATGTTTTTTAAGTAAAAAAATTTTTAAAAATGTTTATTTAACTTCCATCACCGCATTTAACTTCCATCACCGCATATCTTCATCTACATCATCCACCTTAGTTTTATGAATGCATTAATATTTTCAGGTATACCTAAAATTAAAATTAAAATTATGTACATTTAGAGAATTGTTTTTTTCAATACTGAAGCCTCCTGAGATATAGATTTAGGTAAATTTATACAGGGAGTGCAGAATTATTAGGCAAATGAGTATTTTGACCACATCATCCTCTTTATGCATGTTGTCTTACTCCAAGCTGTATAGGCTCGAAAGCCTACTACCAATTAAGCATATTAGGTGATGTGCATCTCTGTAATGAGAAGGGGTGTGGTCTAATGACATCAACACCCTATATCAGGTGTGCCTAATTATTAGGCAACTTCCTTTCCTTTGGCAAAATGGGTCAAAAGAAGGACTTGACAGGCTCAGAAAAGTCAAAAATTGTGAGATATCTTGCAGAGGGATGCAGCACTCTTAAAATTGCAAAGCTTCTGAAGCGTGATCATCGAACAATCAAGCGTTTCATTCAAAATAGTCAACAGGGTCGCAAGAAGCGTGTGGAAAAACCAAGGCGCAAAATAACTGCCCATGAACTGAGAAAAGTCAAGCGTGCAGCTGCCACGATGCCACTTGCCACCAGTTTGGCCATATTTCAGAGCTGCAACATCACTGGAGTGCCAAAAGCACAAGGTGTGCAATACTCAGAGACATGGCCAAGGTAAGAAAGGCTGAAAGACGACCACCACTGAACAAGACACACAAGCTGAAACGTCAAGACTGGGCCAAGAAATATCTCAAGACTGATTTTTCTAAGGTTTTATGGACTGATGAAATGAGAGTGAGTCTTGATGGGCCAGATGGATGGGCCCGTGGCTGGATTGGTAAAGGGCAGAGAGCTCCAGTCCGACTCAGACGCCAGCAAGGTGGAGGTGGAGTACTGGTTTGGGCTGGTATCATCAAAGATGAGCTTGTGGGGCCTTTTTGGGTTGAGGATGGAGTCAAGCTCAACTCCCAGTCCTACTGCCAGTTCCTGGAAGACACCTTCTTCAAGCAGTGGTACAGGAAAAAGTCTGCATCCTTCAAGAAAAACATGATTTTCATGCAGGACAATGCTCCATCACACGCGTCCAAGTACTCTACAGCGTGGCTGGCAAGAAAGGGTATAAAAGAAGGAAATCTAATGACATGGCCTCCTTGTTCACCTGATCTGAACCCCATTGAGAACCTGTGGTCCATTATCAAATGTGAGATTTACAAGGAGGGAAAACAGTACACCTCTCTGAACAGTGTCTGGGGGGCTGTGGTTGCTGCTGCACGCAATGTTGATGGTGAACAGATCAAAACACTGACAGAATCCATGGATGGCAGGCTTTTGAGTGTCCTTGCAAAGAAAGGTGGCTATATTGGTCACTGATTTTGTTTTTGTTTTGTTTTTGAATGTCAGAAATGTATATTTGTGAATGTTGAGATGTTATATTGGTTTCACTGGTAATAATAAATAATTGAAATGGGTATATATTTGTTTTTGTTAAGTTGCCTAATAATTATGCACAGTAATAGTCACCTGCACACACAGATATCCCCTAACATAGCTATAACTAAAAACAAACTAAAAACTACTTCCAAAAATATTCAGCTTTGATATTAATGAGTTTTTTGGGTTCATTGAGAACATGGTTGTTGTTCAATAATAAAATTAATCCTCAAAAATACAACTTGCCTAATAATTCTGCACTCCCTGTATTCTCACGGATACATGAAATTATAATATAGAAAATCACCAGTTGTGATAAGTACATAACATATGTAGCAGTTCACAAGGTAACCCCAAATGGTCACCACCAACATTTCATTATTAATTACATTGCCTGTATGGTAGCACACATTTGGTACACATTTTCAAGTGGTCTATAAAAAGCCTGAGAATAACTGAAAACCCACCCTCTGAGCTTGGAATAAATAATAATGAGTAAATCTCAGATTCTCTTAAAGGACCACTATAAGCACCCAGACCACTTCAGCTTAATGAAGTGGTCTGGGTGCCAGGTCCATCTAGGATTAACCCTTTTTTTTATAAACATAGTTTCAGAGAAACTGCTATGTTTATAATATGGTTAATCCAGCCTCCAGTGGCTGTCTCTTGACAGCCGCTAGAGGCGCTTGCGTGCTTCTCACTGTGAAAATCACAGTGAGAAGACGCCAGCGTCCATAGGAAAGCATTGTAAATGCTTTCCTATGAACTGGCTGAATGTGCGCGCGGCTCCTGCCGTGCATGCGCATTCAGCCGATGACGTCGCAATGGAGGAGGAGAGGAGGAGGAGAGCTCCCCGCCCGGCGCTGGAGAAAGGTAAGATTTTAACCCCTTCCTCTCCCCAGAGCCCTCATGTCCCGCCGAGTATGTTTTCCTGGCACTATAGTCAGGGCCGGCGCTTCCTATAAGGCGAACTAGGCAGCCGATGCTGATGAATGTTGTGCCCATTCACAAGAAAGGTAGCAGGGAGGAGTTGGGCAACTATAGGCCAGTAAGCCTTACTTCAGTAGTGGGGAAAGTAATGGAAACCATGTTAAAGGATAGGATTGCTGAACATCTAAAATCACATGGATTTCAAGATCAGAGACAACATGGGTTTACTTCAGTGAGATCATGCTAAACTAGTCTTATTGATTTTTATGATTGGGTAACTAAAATAATAGATCAGGGTGGTGCAGTAGACATTGCTTACCTAGATTTTAGTAAGGCTTTTGACACTGTTGCACATAGAAGGCTTATCAATGTTGCACATATTATCAATAAATTGCAATCTTTAAGTTTGGATTCCAATATTGTTGAATGGGTAAGGCAGTGGCTGAGTGACAGGCAACAGAGGGTTGTAGTCAATGGAATATATTCGAAGCTTGGGCTTGTCACCAGTGGGGTACCTCGGGATCTGTACTTGGACCATTCTCTTTAATATTTTTATTAGTGATATTGCAGAAGGTCTTGATGGTAAGGTATGTCTTTTTGCTGATGATATTAAGATATGTAACAGGGTTGATGTTCCAGGAGGGATAAGCCAAATGGCAAATGATTTAGGTAAACTAGAAAAATGGTCAGAGTTGTGGCAACTGACATTTAATGTGGATAAGTGCAAGATAATGCATCTTGGACTAAAAACCCAAGGGCAGAGTACAGAATATTTGATAGAGTCCTAACCTCAACATCTGAGGAAAGGGATTTAGGGGTGATTTTTTCTGATGACTTAAAGGTAGGCAGACAATGTAATAGAGCAGCAGGAAATGTTAGCAGAATGCTTGGTTGTATAGGAAGAGGTATTAGCAGTAGAAAGAGGGAAGTGCTTGTGCCTTTGTACAGAACACTGGTGAGACCTCACTTGGAGTATTGTACACAGTACTGGAGACCGTATCTTCAGAAGGATATTGATACCTTAGAGAGCGTTCAGAGAAAGGCTACTAAACTGGTTCATGGATTGCAGGATAAAACTTACAAGGAAAGGTTAAATGTATAGCTTAGAGGAAAGACGAGACAGAGGGGATATGATAGAAACGTTTAAATATATAAAAGGTAATCAACACAGTAAAGGAGGAGACTATATTTAAAAGAAGAAATACTACCACAACAAGAGGACATAGTCTTAAATTAGAGGGGCAAAGGTTTAAAAATAATATCAGGAAGTATTACTTTACTGAGAGGGTAGTGGATGCATGGAATAGCCTTCTAGCTGAAGTGGTAGAGATTAACACAGTGAGGGAGTTTAAGCATACGTGGGATTTGCATAAGGCTATCCTAACTATAAGATAAGGTCAGGGACTAATTAGTAAAGTATTTAGAAAATTGGGCAGACTAGATGGGCCGAATGGTTCTTCTCTGCCATCACATTCTATGTTTCTATGTATCCCTAGATGCTGGTTCACCAGTCAATCCCACCAACCCCCAACCTGCTTTTGCTGAAATGCCTAGAAGTAAAACAATATGGCCATCAAGGAACGCACTTAAAGGGTCACGACCTGTCACCATCTCCGCCGAGAACCATGCCAGGTACTCAAGAGTGACCAAAAAGAATCATCCAGAGTAAGAATTTTTGCTCTCCAAGTCAAGAGAAATTTCCTGGCAAAGATTTGCTTATTGGTCAATGTTTCTAGCCAATCCATCTTAAATATAAAATGCAGTTTGATCAAAAACAATTGCAAGGAAAGAGTATTCAGCTGGCTCCAGACCTGGAGAATGGTTTTGCGTCCAACAGCTGTGATAATGAGAAAGAACTGTTTATTAGCTAAGGGATGGCACAGTAAAGGTTGTTCGGCTATTTTTATCTTAAATTTGAAATTTACTTAGCGTATTTATTCTTACTTTAGTGAAAAACCCTGTAAGCAATGAATTGTAGAGAATTGAAAAACACGAGTTACAAACTTCAGGCAAAAATAGCCAAGACTACGGTTAGTGAATAAGCAGTTTTGTAAACACTAAGCTACTTTTTTACACAGTCAATGAGCGTATTCGTGGCTGAAAGTCAAACTCGGCACTGAATTCTTTTCCTCCTTCATTCCACTTATTGCTCACATGGTTAAGGCATCAACAAAACAACTTTAGCTTAATTAAGCAGTTTTGTTGTATATAGATCATGCCCATGCATTCTTACTGCTCAATTTTCTGCTATTTAAGAGTTAAATCACTTTGTTTATGCAGTCTCCCTGCTTGTCACATTCACATCCTTCCTAGCACTTCCTGTAAAGTTAGTTCTAATGTTTATACTTCCTATGTTGCACTTTCTATTTAAGTTAGAATTTCTTATCTACTGCACTGTTTATTTCTTGCTACACCTTGCAGGAGCCTCCGGTGTGTGATTAAAGTTTAATATTCAGAGCAGGAAATAAAAACTTCTGAGGTAAGTTAACATCTGATTCAAAATGAAACCATTTTGTTTTCATGCAGGCTGTGCCAGTCACAGCCAGGGGAGGTGTGGTTAGGGCAGCATGGGCAGAAACAGAAGTAATTAAACTCATAAATGCCAGAGAATTGAGCAGCGAAACTTCAGAGGCATGATATAAACACGACAGCTCTTGATTATTTATTTTAGTGACTATAGTATCCCTTTAACTAAAAACCTTGGATGTTGGTTGCAAGGTAGATGTAGACACTATTTCAGAGTTACAATAAATTCAGACTTGGCGGACTACAACATTCAATAGCAAAGAGTTTATTCACAGCTGTTGTAAGCCAAGGGTTTATTGAGACCTATGCTGTTGGCTGGAGACCTTTGCTGTTCAATGGAAAACAAATAGCATTGAAAGAAAGAAGGACTAATTTGGGCCACTGTCACTTAACTATTTAAGAGAAAACTGAAAAACAATGCTAAGAAGGCACTACATACATATGAAAGAGCGAGCGAGATTAGATTACCTCCCATGTTACCATATTGTGCCCTATCAATCACAATATATACACATGCAAACACACAGGATCTCAAGCAGTGACTGCAGCGCTGACACAGAGAGATAGTTAAATATGGTTTTCCCTGTTTGTGCTTGACCAGTAACCAAAGATCCTACTTTCAATGTTCCAACTCCTTCTAGTGCCCACCAGTGAGCTGTCCATCTATGGCAGGAGTCAGCAACCTATAGCACAAGAGGTGCCTTTGCATGGCAAATGAATCTGCCAGAACCAAACTTGCTGGAGAGATCAGATGATTGTCTAAAACAGAGATCCCGGTAAGACTTCTTCACTCTTCAGATATCTGTTAGTGGTGGATTGCAGTGGGCAGTGAGAGTCTGAATTTCTTCATGACAGCACTTGCAGGAACTAATCTCAAATCACTTCCTCTCAGTGCTTGTGAAGAGAAGGAGAGCAGCCTGCCAAAGCTTCTGCACTTGCCCTGTACCCGGGAAGCCTGGTCCCCAACTTACCCCAAGGAAGCCACACTCCTGATGCAAAATGGCGAGAAAAAAGGAGGGCGGCTATAAACAACACCATTGCCAATGTTTGTGTATAAAGGTTCTCCATGTCATTAAAATCCACACTAATTGCATATTTTTCAAAGTTTGCTTGAATAAAATACATTGACTATCTGGTAAATTACTTATCTTATTTAAGAACAACATAGAGCTCGCATAGTCACCTAAATTGGTCAGTAATTCTCTAAACATAACACCCAGTCCAAATTGTAACGGTTAAAAAAAATGTTTTTTGATGACTATTATATTTCTGGAGTTAAAAAATGTTGAAACACAACTTCATATGTTATAACTGTATCAGCCCTGATTCTGGAGCCCTTCTTGGTCGGCAGGCAAAGCTTGTAGCCTGGTGTGTGGCCTTGGCGGGGGAAGTGGAGGATCTTCCAAGCTTGGTCAGAAATGTCTTAATTTGTACTCATCAATGGCCCCATACTCCCCCCCCCCTTGTGGAGGTTATCCCGGTCCTCACCAAGGATTGTAATCTGCTATATCTGACCTGGGCAGGAGAATGGCGGCTTTCAAGATGGTTGTTCATGAGGAAGCAGAACTGCCTATACAACAAGGTCTATCCTTGCATGAGGCATTTGGCACCTTGTGTGCTACATTTTGTGATACCTTAGAAAAATGACAGCGTTCACTGAACCTGTGCAATGATTGGAGTCTCCGGGAGGGGCCTCAACTGGACTGCCTACCTGAGCTGAGAGCCATGAAGGTTTTACTACTGGAGCAACGTCCACCCTTTTGGGAGGTCTAGGAATAGGTCTCAGGACTCTGGCTGGGTCACTGCTGGTTGGTTCAGTGGACGGGTGCTGGCTTAGTTTGCTGCGTGGGGCTGGTGGAATAGCATGCCTGAGGATGTGCCTCACCTCTCGAGGTACCATCCGGGACTCTGCCCATGCCAAGGAATTGGCTGAATATGTGTGGTGACTTGACATGTTAAGCTGTGTCATGTCACAGTTTCTAGAGCTACACAGATCTGATGCCCCATTTTCCTTTCTGATGCCATTATACTTTCTTCAAGTTGTATAAAAGTTTGTTTTGCTGTTCATTAAGATGTCCAGTACTGATACTTGCCCAGATGTGCATGTGTATCCTTTGTAATTATATTATTTTTGAACTAACAACCTAGCTTTAATACCAGTGTTATATTTACAATGTGTCATGTTTTTTTTTCACCTTGCTGAAATGTCACTATAAGATTGTTGGTTTAAATGCAAAAATAAAGAATGTAAAAAAAATATATATATATATTACCTGGCTTGATGGTTATGTAATATCACATATTTTTGCAAAGCCAATTCTGAGTTGCCAAAACAGATTATTATTAATTTAGGGTTTAAAAAAAAAAAAAAAAAAGGAAGCGAGAGAGCTTGGTTTTATGATTGAAAAAGAGGATTTATCCAAAAATGAAAGTAAAAAAAAATCAAGTGGACAATTGACCTCCCACTTACCATTCCACGATGACAAGAACAAAGCTTTCCTACACATTCAGTCTGTAGCGTCAGTTACTGTCCTTCAGTGTGGAAAAAGCACAGTGCTTTTTAGAATGTTTTTTTAATAACCAGCTAAAATGAAAGAGCTGCCATACTCAGTGTAGGCAGGTTTCACACACTGTGTATGTTACTAAGACAGTGAAATTTACAAAGCACAAGCAGTGGCACATAATCAGACTACAAATCAAATAATCTTTCTCTTACTAGAAAAAAATTTTTTGTAGTAGGTAAGAAGAACCTTTTTTTCTATTCTTTTTTTCCCCCTTTCTTAAGTCACGGGATGATGTGGGGTTAGACTGTTCCTGTCCAACTGGGCAGGACCAAATACAGCACCTGTGGACCTTTTGCCTTCCCTTGGACTTTTTGTTCTAATTCTTCCTTCAGTAATAAAGACTTGTGGTATCTTTGCAGCCTTCACACGTTCATACTCTCTTCCTTGACGCACAATTTGCACTTTGCAATTCAGTCTTCATGGAGGCACTGTAAGTGATCCCAAACTTAGCTTTGTTGGCATGATAGATTGAACACCATAGATTGAACACCACCTTTTGCTTCTGCTGAAGAGGCAGGTGGATTTGCATTGGTGGTAGTGGAAGCTGTCACAACACTCGCCTGCACTCTACACTCTTACTGTAACTAGAAGTTTCATGATAATCGTAATGTTAATGGCCCCTGTACTGGTGATGTAGATGCACAGTACAAATCAGTTCTCAATGTGGAAGAGCTTCTTCTGGCTGTCTAAAAAGATGTCCACTAGTGGTTAACCTTGCAGTGGAAACATTACAGTGTCTATATAACAACAGGGCCGCGTACATTGAGATGAAATTTTCTGGGTGCCTTAAGTGGTCAATTAAAACAGTTGCAATCAGTATTATTGGTTGGTTAAACAATTTAAAATAAATCATAAAAAGTATAGCTAAAATAATGTAGGAAAACAGAAAACCATAATGCATACAAAGCTTTGCGTATAAATGAAACTAAGGTGAAACATTGGTTATTGATGACAATTTATCTGTAGGAAGGCCTTTTAGATGCCATGGATTGTTCTTCTGGAAATGTGTACATTCTGAGAATTACTTGCTGATTTTGTAAACATGGGCTTGTAAAGAATATATTGCAGATTTGTACTTTTGCAATGAAACTGTACTCCTGTAATCCTCCGGAGAACACGTAGTAACACAGTGCTTGATTTATTAACTCTCTTTCATTATTCTATTTTATATAGTCATCTGGGTGTTCAGCAGTTAAAGAACATTATTCTCTCTTACGTATACACTTCTGTGAAGCTCTGAGGTATAAAAAAAATGTTTTTCCAGTACAAATTTAACCGAAAACATATTATTTTTATAATAATAATAAAAATAAATAATTATTACTATTTAGCATTTCTCTTCTAGATGGACTCAAAATGCATCGCCTTTTAGAACAGTGTAACTCACATTAAGAAGGTCTATAATTAGTTTTATTTAAAAGCATGACATCAGGGATAGGGGACAGATTCAGGTAAGTGAAACTCACCTTTGCCTGCCTTCCCAGCCAACAGACCCCCAGTGGTGATGTCACTGTCGGGGGTCTGCAAATTACGCATAGTACCCATACAGTGAAAGTTCCACTTTAAAATGAACCATTTGCTTAAACAAATAGTTACAATTCATTAGCTGGCATCCAAAATACATCATGAAATGATCAAGCATTGAAGGATATCTAGCATAGCATCATGGGTTTTTCAGAAGGTTATTTTTATATCTAAACCTTGAGGCTGCTATGAAACATTTGTTGTAGAAATTTTTGAAATATAAATTAAGGCTAAGAATCAATGTTAATTTGCAAGCCTAGTCAAATTGGATTTTCTACAGTGGTATCAATTCTGTGGAAATTTTAACTTGTTAGAACTCAGGAAAACGGTCTAACTCAGCACTCACATTGTGGACCCTTCAACACAGGAGCAGAAAGGAAAGAGTAATTATTACTCCGGGCTAAGATGCTGTCAGAGGATGTTAAATAAAACATGTTTCATCCATATTTTTTGACCTGATGCAACAGTTTTAGAAGATAACTAAAATTTAATTACAGGTAAAAAAGGGTTTAATTTAGAGAGAATAACAGCCTACTATTTCATCCTAAATACCATGGAATGAAAATGATGTACCTTCTTGAAATATAAGAGACTCTCTGAGAAAATTATATGTAAGTGTTAATAGTACCTTTCATTCACACAGAAAGCCAAGATATAGTGCAGTCAGACACAGAGTGTACACACAGTGCAGTCAGACACAGAGTGTACATATACATATATATAGAAAAAGGTCTTGCTCTCAAGGATCTACAGGGAACAAGATTAAGGAATGGTAGCTCCCTCCCTTTTCGAAGCTAAGGCAGAGGAGCAAAAAACAAAAACGCCTATAGTTCCCCCCCAACAAGCGTACTTTGTGGGGTGATTTGTTATATCACACACAACCTTCTGCACACAGTAATGGATACCATTCAACACATACAACCATCCAACGTAGGTAGCTTACACACACACAAACATACAGCCTCACCCACCCACACACACACACACAACATACAGCCTCACCCACACACACACAACATACAGCCTCAGCCTCACCCACACACACAATAAGTAGCCTCCCCATACAATCTTCCACACACATTACAGACCCCACACACAGTCAGTTATTGCTTTAAGGACGCATGACGGAATTATTCCATCATGGTTGTCCTATCCTTAACCATGACAGAAACATTCCATTTTTACCAACAGGAAATGTTTCCCTGCTGGTACTGAGGCCAAAGTTGCTGAACAGGAAGCAGAGTTGACTTGGAGAGTTTTTCCATTTGTTTCGAGTATTTTTCTGCTTCCAGGAACTGTAACATTATCTAGTAAATATAGGGTTGCTGTTGTAACAGTCACCAGGGGACTTATGGAACAGTTTACCAGGAGTTGGAGCCCAGTTGCAGGAGATGGCACAGGAAGCAGGCAAAATCCAAAACACAGTACAGATTAAGGGGAAATCCAAAGGCAGGGTCAGACGAGAAGCAGAGGTCAGAGCTGGCAGCGGAGTAACAAAGTCGGTAAACCAATAAAAGAGGCCATGATAGACTTGTAGGATGGTGACACAGAGTCCCTACATGGCTATGTTTAGGGCGAGGAGGATGTATCGGGCAATAGCTGATGTAGTGGCCTCCCTTGCCACAATAGAAGCAAAGGCCTTTGGCTCTCCTTCTGGCTTTTTCATTTACCGTGAGCATGGTATTCAGTGTTCCAATTTGCATGGGTTCCATTATGTCCATGGTGGGGATAGGGGTATAGGTCTCACCAGCAGGTTTGGAACGTTGATGGGGCAAAAAGCTGGTTTCAAATTGCTCCTGCTTTCTTTCTCTGAACCCGCAATCTAGCTGGGTGACCAGAAGGAACAGATCTTCCAATGAAGTGGGTACCCCAACTCTGGCTAGTTCATCTTTTAATGCCTCAGACAGACCCAATCTGTATTGCTCTATTAGACCAGTCTCATTATAACCGGTGTCAGCAGCTAGCTCCCATGTTATAGTTTTGCAAAGTGATGATGATGATGACGATGAGTCGGATTGCAACTGCTTGATATTTCCCCCATAAAAAATACATATTTTCTAAGATTAAATAGCTCCAGGTATTTCATATGTGGCATTTCAACAATTACAGATATTTCCTTTGTAATTTTTATTGCTATGTGATTCTGGGATATTCTACTAAACAACAAAACATTCTAAATTCATGTTAGAGATGACTATCATAGGCAGGGCCGTCTTTAACAAGGGGCAAACAGGGCAGCTGCCCCGGGCCCAGTTGCTCCTGGGGGGCCCAAGGCAGCTGTCCTGTGGGCCACCTGCCCGCAGCCAGGTCTGAACAGCCCACCGGGATACTGAGAAATATCCCGGTGGGCTGCAGCAGGTGATGTAATCAGGGGCCCCGGCCCTTTAAGAGAGCTGCAGACCGAGCCCCTGTCTTCCTGCCTGCTGGGAGGAAGTGTTGTGAGGTCACTTCCTCCCAATTAACAGAGTGCCGCTGGGGAGGAGGAGGAGGCATACATGGAGAGCAGGAGGAGGTACAGACCAAAAAGAAGAAGACTCCCATCAATCTCAGCCATCCAGCTCCCACTGGACCACAGGGAAGCCACACTTCTGTAAAGGTAAGGATGGTGGCTAAACTATGTGAATTCATATGACTCTGTGTGTGTGTGTGTGTTTGTGTCAGTGTGTGTGTGTGTATCTGGCTGTATGTGTGTGTGTGTGTGTATCTGACTGTGTGTGTATCTGGCTGTATGTGTGTGTGTGTGTGTATCTGGCTGTATGTGTGTGTGTGTGTATCTGACTGTGTGTGTATCTGGCCGTATGTGTATCTGGCTGTATGTGTGTGTATCTGGCTGTATGTGTGTATGTGTATCTGGCTGTATGTGTGTATGTGTATCTGGCTGTATGTGTGTGTATCTGGCTGTATGTGTATCTGGCTGTATGTGTGTGTGTGTGTGTATGGCTGTATGTGTGTGTATCTGGCTGTGTATGTGTGTGTGTGTATCTGGCTGTATGTGTGTGTATATCTGGCTGTATGTGTGTGTATATCTGGCTGTGTGTGTGTATATCTGGCTGTGTGTGTGTATCTGGCTGTGTGTGTATATCTGGCTGTGTGTGTGTGTATCTGAGGTGTGTGTGGTGTGTGTGTGTATCTGGGTGTGTGTGTGTATCTGGCTGTGTGTGTGTGTGTATCTGGCTGTGTGTGTGTGTATCTGACTGTGTGTGTATCTGGCTGTATGTGTGTATGTGTATCTGGCTGTATGTGTGTATGTGTATCTGGCAGTATGTGTGTATGTGTATCTGGCTGTATGTGTGTATGTGTATCTGGCTGTATGTGTATCTGGCTGTATGTGTGTGTGTGTGTATCTGGCTGTATGTGTGTGTATCTGGCTGTATGTGTGTGTATCTGGCTGTATGTGTGTGTGTGTATCTGGCTGTATGTGTGTGTATATCTGGCTGTATGTGTGTGTATATCTGGCTGTGTGTGTGTATATCTGGCTGTGTGTGTGTATCTGGCTGTGTGTGTGTATATCTGGCTGTGTGTGTGTGTGTATCTGAGGTGTGTGTGTGTATCTGAGGTGTGTGTGTGTATCTGAGGTGTGTGTGTGTATCTGGCTGTGTGTGTGTGTATCTGGCTGTATGTGTGTGTATCTGGCTGTGTGTGTGTGTATCTGGCTGTGTGTGTGTGTGTATCTGACTGTGTGTGTGTGTGTCTGGCTGTGTGTGTGTATCTACTGGCTGTGTGTGTATCTGGCTGTATGTGTGTGTATCTGGCTGTATGTGTGTGTATATCTGACTGTGTGTGTGTGTGTGTGTATATCTCACTGTGTGTCTGTGTGTGTGTATCCGACTGTGTGTGTGTGTATATCTCACTGTGTGTGTGTATCCGACTGTGTGTGTGTATATCTCATTGTGTGTGTGTGTATCTGGCTGGCTGTGTATGTATCTGACTGTATGTGTGTGTATCTGGCTGTATGTGTGTGTATCTGGCTGTATGTGTGTGTATATCTGACTGTGTGTGTGTGTGTATCCGACTGTGTGTGTATATCTCACTGTGTGTGTGTATCCGACTGTGTGTGTGTATATCTCACTGTGTGTGTGTGTGTGTGTCTGGCTGGCTGTGTTTGTGTCTGACTGTGTGTGTGTGTGTCTGTATCTGACTGTGTGTGTGTAAGTGTGTGTGTATCTGGCTGTGTGTGTCAGTGTGTATCGGGCTGTTTGTGTCAGTGTGTGTTTATATGGCTGTGTTTGTGTCAGTGTACATGTACCTTTGTGTCAGTGTTTATGTGTATCTGTGTGTATGTATACCTATGTGTCAGTTTGTATGTGTACCTGCTTGTCTGTGTATATGTACCTGTGTGTGTATGAGTGTCAGTATGTGTAAGTGTGTATCTGTGCGTGTGGCAATGAATACATCCCATCTAACATTGCACACAAATACAACCCTGCATTCCAACATTAACAATGCACACAAATACACCACTGCATGTGTATCTGTGTTCCTGTGTGTATCACTGTTTGTGTGAGAGTGCATCTGTGTGACAATGCATACATCCCAGCATTCCTACGCCAACACTGCACACAAATACATATGCATTTGTGTATATATCTGTGTCAGTGTGTGTAAGTGTGTATCTCTGTGTGTGGATGTGCCAGTGTTTTTATCTCTGTGTGTGCACGTGCATTTATGTATGTGGCTGTGTGTGTATACGCCAGTCTTTGTCAGTGTGTCCAGATGTGTGCATGTATCAGTGTGCTAATGTGTATGTATATCTGTGAATGTTGACATTCATACATCACGGCAATCAAACACAACATGCAACCACACCCCTGCAAACATTACATTCAAACACACCCCTGAATTCAAACCCAAAAAGTATATGGAAACACATCCCTACACTTAAACACCAATACTACACCCTACATGCACACACATACTGTATACAACAACATGCTCACATTCAAATGCACAAACACTTCTCACAAATACAGCCCTGCAAAAATGGACAAATGGTAGATCCCCAGCTGGCATAGCATCGTTGGAATTGTACAACAGATGAGGATCTATCTTTTCTCTGCTCTTGCGCTAGAGGGATGGCAGGATCCAGGGGGCCCAAACAAATGCCTGCCCAGTGTCCAATCAATGTTAAAGACGGCCCTGATCATAGGACAACAGAGGGGCAGAGGAACAAGTCAGAAGGTGTTACTGTTTCTCCTATTAAGGGACACTTAGGAGGTGTGAAATTTGAACACAACTTAATTGTTACTCTAAGTGGGTTTCTTTTCCTCCCAGATAATGTGTGCATTCATTTGTGTCTCAATAAACTTTGACACAACATTGATTACAGCTGTTCTAGCTGTGTTTTAACATTTACTATCACGATTTACTGTAGGCAAAAAAAATACACACTAAACTTTTATACTCCCATGGAGTAGGTTTTTATGTGCCGAAAAAAAGACCCATAAAAGTAGTTGTGGTCATAAAAATTCCTTTAAAATGCTCATGATGAATACCTCTGTCAGGACAGTATGCTACACTTAATTTAACTGAAGTACTAGATGATTGCTAATCCACAGGTAAAATATTGTCTAATTCAGGCGCATGACAGCTGTGTCTGATAAGCTATGAAAGAATATGAGAACAACCAAAAGTACTGTGCCACGTGCATTAACTGCAGAATACTATGCTCTCTCAAACCACTGACATGGCTTTTCCTCTACTGGCAAATGTTACAATGATGGAGAATCTCCGAGTTAGGTCCTGGGTCTAAGCCATCAGCTCGCATTTACTTGTGTGAACAGGTTTCATTCATTCACAGTTATTCACTAAACTGAAAATTGTTGGGAATTCAAAGTGGATTTTTAATTTAAGGAGAAATAGACAAACAGGAAGATTGAGCAACTTGGAAAATGTTTTCAGTTTGACCAGTTTTGCCTTAATTTTAAAATTCACTTTAAATTCCTGACAATTCTAACGTTAGTGAATAACTAGTAATGTGAATGAAATTTCCTTTGCAGTGCTGTTTCATTGCCAATATCATTGCGAGCAAAACTCTGTTGGGAAACATAGCATCTAACTACAGCTGTGCTTGGCCCTCTAAATGGTAAGTGATAGTTGAAGCGATTGATCCTTCACCTATCAACATCTGTAAGAGCCCTAAAGTTTAAAATATAGACTTTTTTTTTTTTTTACCAATGCTTGCGTTTAGTCACAGCAGATTATACATTTTTGCAAATAATAATAGGCAGGGTTATATTATAAAATTAGATTGACTTACATTTATATACATTTTATATAAAGTATATAAACTGGGTACACTCTCCGCAGCTAGGATAAACATTCACTTCTTCAACCAAGAGCTGCAAAATGTTAAAGGAACACTCCAAGCTCGCTGTAGTGGTTATGGTGCCATGGAGAACCTGGGTGCCCTTATTTTGTGCGTAGTTAAACTGTTTTAGAACAGTGCACTGTAGTGGTTATGGTGCTTGGATTATTCTTTTAACTGGACAGGTGCTGGCAAATGTCCCTCCCCTAACTTTAATACCATAACCCCCCCCTCACCAGTGTCAGGCAGCCAACCAACCAGCCACCTGGTGGAATTTAACCTTTAATTTACTGTCTCTGTTATTCCATACAAGTGGAATGGTGGTACACTAATCCTAAATTTGGCCTCTCTGCAACCTTTTTTTTTTTTTTTATGTTTCACAATTGTGATGCAATTAATGCAAGATGATCTCTTCCACATTGAAGATTCCTGCAGCTAAACGCACTAAATCTTATTAACATAAATATATTATCAATCTGTTGGAAGTATTTTCTGCTTTAACCTAGAAAACAGATAAGTCTGTTATACTGTGCATTAAATCTCTTTTACAATAAAAAAAAAAAGGAAATTGTGAGGAATGAACAAGGGAATTGAAAGTCCTAGACCAGATGAGCCATGGTGGAAAAATAACTGAATGGGGAAATTCTTCCACTTCTGCTAGTTTGACCAAAAATCTATAATTCCCCGGCTGATATTTTACACTATGGAATCCCACTCATGTCTGATATGTTAATCATATACTACAATGTAAGCATATAATTTAAACTACAGAAACCATAATTTATTAAATGAACCCACTTAAACATATACATAAAAATATTCAGTGCTGTAATACTTTAAAAGAGGATAAAATAATACTTACATCCTACAAGTCAGCATAATAAGGATCACCCATCTGTCGCGGATCCTGGGACACACACCAGGAAATAGCTTTCCTCTATAAGCCAGCAGAATCAATGTCTAGCTGGCAGCTGGAGCTAACGGAAGGGTTACCCCCACTTTGTCCCCAATAGCCTGCATCCAAGTTAGTAAAAAAAAATGCCAAAGACCACCACTTGTTAAACAAGATGTACAAATCACAGTGGTTCACACTGAGTGATAAACATATTAAAGTATACTTACCAGCTCTTAATAGCTGTTTTCCAAGGACTCCATAGGTCCCAGATAGATATAATATGCACAAACAAACAAAGCGATAAACAGCAAATCACTATAAAATACAAAATAAAAGTAATAATAGTGTAGTACCCCTGAAAAACACCACCACCTATGTGCATAATATTTCACTTAAAAACACAAATATTAAAGGGCCTACAATGTAAATCCACATTTCTTCATGGCTTCATGGGTCATCACTTCTCACCATAACAAGGATGAAAACCTCAGTAGAATGAAATAAGATACTCTATTTCTGGCACTATAGCTCCCTCTGCCTCCCCCCTTGCACCCCCCACTCAATAAAGGGAAGAGGGGTTCCTCCACCAGAGATGTTTTCTTCCCCATAGTGGGAGGGATGCTGTAAAGCAGAGCAGGAACAGCTCTTACAGCTAGTGATTAAGCACTCTAAGCAGAAGGGAGACAGCTGTTATAGCTTTCTCCCACAAACATGAGATGATGCTCTATGCTGTGGGACAATTGGTTTTAATATAGCCACACACAGCCTTTTATGACAATCCCCATGCAAGGGGCACTCCACCCAGGACCTGAGCGTAGACTACAGTACAAACATACATGCGATTACGCTGGCTCTCAGGTCCAGAACACTACCATACAAAATGAGACAATCCCTTCCTTCAGCCTGGGAGATAATTGGATCAGGAACTGTGCTAACTTAATTAACTCCAGGCACAAAAACACACATTTCAGCAGTACCCCAAAAGTACCCCTAAAAACCATGGAAACACTGCAAAAGTTATTTTCCCTGAAAGCCCCGATCTGGGTGACCAACCTATCCAAAAATCACCCAGATCGGTTCAGGGGTTCGGGATTTCCATGGAAGTCATATTTTGACCAACTGCACACGAGGCTCCTGCCCAAAAGAGTTCCATGAAATCAGACTGTGCGGTCAGTCTATTTTGGGAGTTCACAATACAACAGAAGTACGAATGCAACCAGTTTGTATGTATAATTAGTCTGTTTCTCTTGTTCGGGAGTGTGCTTCCACTGAACGCTTCTCTTCTCAAGTGAATCCAGCCAAACCTACGAAGAGATGGAAGTCCCAGCGGTGTTCGCGCCATCGAGTGTCCGATTATAGTTCGATGCACTTGATGACCATACACTGCTATGTGTGTTCGCAGCTAAAGATGGCCGCCGCCATCATTCGGTAGGTCATTCGGTAGAGGAATGGAATAAAATACAAAAACGAAAGTGATAGGTGAATGAAACAAAGGGATTACAATCCCAGGGACAGAGTGAATCGTCACATATATAGAAATTAAAAAAATTCTTCTAGAACTTAATACACTGTAGAATGTGTATATTTACACAATATAGATAAATATATAAGTATATAAAGTTCATAAACATGTGTGTAATATCCCATCACATAGAAAGGAAGATAAAAACTATAAAATACCAGATAAAACCATTATCAAAAAAGACACAGTATAAAAGAACTATAAAAAGCAAGCGTATTTATCTCTGTGTTCAGATCCCCAAGAGATAGGGTTTGATGTTTATGAACAAAGTAGGTTTCTGTCTGTGATAATTTTCTTTCTCTAGCTACCCCCCTCCAACCTAATTCTACCTGTTCTATGGCACAAAATTGAAAATCTTCAGGTCTGAACTTTTTGCAGTTATTGTTATGCAATGGGACCGAATGTTTGCAACTTTCTTTTCTGATATCATTTTGATATTTCCATATCCTGCTAGCTTTCCACATGTTCGTCTGATATATTGGCTGCCACGAAGGCATTCTAGTAAGTTTACTACATATGTAGACATACAGCTTACACTTTGTTTTATTATAAAATGTTCTCCCGTCTGATTACATTTAAAACGATCTTGTTTAACACAAGGTAGGAATCTACAAGCTTTGTACTTGCTGTATTTTCTAAATCCTTTTGCAACTTGGTTTGATTTTCCTTCTTTTGTAATTTTTGGAGCAATGCTCAGAGTAAAGGTTTCTTAATGTTGTCAGCTTTATAAACATGATTTTTTCATTTCTCTTCCACAAACAGGTTAAATCCAAGACGTTAATATGCGATTTATCGAAGGATCCTGAAAATGTTATATTATAGGTGTTTTGACTCAGATTGCATATGGCATCGCCATAGTACCAGGTTTGCCCCCCAGGTATATTCGACCCAGATTAAGTTATTGTCATAATCTCCCATCTATATGTTGGCATAACTGGGAACAACCTAGTACCCATGGCATTTCCCACCAGCTGAAGAAAAGATACGCCGTCAAAAGCAAAGACGTTATGTTCCAGGATTGTTGAAGGGAATAGAGACTTCTTCACCCCCCTTCATTTTCCTTTTAGCTGCTCCCAAAAATAAATTATGAGGTATTATAGTGTACAAGGATGAAATGTCTAGGATGGCCCAATTATAATTCTCTTCCCATATTGTTATTACAAATTAGTAAAATGGGTCTCATGTCTTTAAGATAATGTTTATTGTTTTAGACTTATAACATTATTATTATTATTTGTATAATATCACATATCATAAAACCTCTTTTAAAGTAATTTGATGTTTTAAGTGATAGTCTCGTTAGCCGGCGATAAAACTAATTTCCACTTTCTTGGCATATTTTAGCTGAAAGCACAGCACCTGCCCTATGTTTCCAGTATGTTTGATGGCATATCTTGTTTACCCAAATAATGTTCTTCAGAATGTGCCATTGTGCTGGTCAGCGTTTGCCCTCCTTCCTCCAATTTTCTCAATGTATCATTAAGGGCTAATCATTATTATTATTTTTTTAAACATTCTGTGTTTATTGAGCATTTTTAAGTAAAAGCAGTATTACAGAAAGGAAACAGAATAGTTGGTATATTGTTTGCAGTAGCAAATAGTTACAGTTGTTATTAGTATAGATAGCGCAATGGCAGGAGGAAGGAGATTTCCCCAGCCCCGAGGGAGCCCGGCGCTAGATAAAGGGTAAGTGATTAACCCCTTCCTTCCCCTTCAGCCCGGCGGGAGTGGGACCCTGAGGGTGGGGAGGACCTAGAGACCCTATAGTGCCAGGAAAATGAGTTTGTTTTCCTGACACTATAGTGGTTCTTTAACCCCTTAAGGAGAGATCACGGAAATATTCCGTCATGATTCCCTTTTATTCCAGAAGTTGTGTCCTTAAGGGGTTAAGACACCTGGGAAAGGGAACATAACAATAACAAAATAATACAATAATACTAACAGTTATAACCATTGGTCTGGTAGACTAAGTTGTGCTTCATTTTGTCTCTTCAGAAGCTTCTGTTGCAGGGGGTGGTGAGGGCTAGAGTCATATGGTGTGGGTGAGAATATTACAGGGAGTATTATTTTTAAGTGAATTACAAAATTAAAATAAAATAATGAAAATCAGCTAAATGCTCACCTCTATTTTCTTTTAAAATGAATATTAAATATGTAACAAGTTACATCACAATCGCAGCTCGGAGCACAAGATAAAAATGAAGAACATTGTTTTTGTGTCTTCTTCTCCACTTACTGGTTATTGAATTCCTTTTGGAGTTTTTTGATGCAAGTTGTTGGGAGCTCTCTAAGACAGATGCAAATATTGTGTTTTTGTTTTATTTAAATGACAGACAAAGGTACAGAGTATTGAATGCAAAACGAGAAGCCCAACCATTAAGAATAAATAAACTTCATTGTATAAGTCAAATGTATATGGTGTCCTCGTATTCTTGTGTGAAATGTCTTTTTACTCATGTTCATTATGCAACGCACTACAAAAAATTATGTAAAAAAAAAAAAGGGACAAACTGGGAAGCATCACACACTACACACAAGCCAACCAACACTACGCAACAGGTGCACACAAATATGTAGCACACACTGCATATATTGCACACAGCCTACACACGCATTCAACTCAACCTGCACTAACACTCACTCTGAGCTGTGTTGGAGGGTTTTTCCAGATCAGCTTTTTCTGTCTCAGTTTTCCATTTGAAATTAATTCACAAAAATTCAGAGATTGGTGCATACCCCTGTCTTTGTCCAGGCGTCAAGGCAGGGACCCCAATCTGAAATGATTGTGAAATGATTGATAGCCATGATGGACAATTAGAATGGACTACAACTTTTATCCAATGGACAAATTTCCACACCCCTGTATATTCACTAAATATAGATAATAAGTATACATAATATTAAAACTCCTGAAAAGGGAAATGTTTCCTGTTTTTCTTGTCAGATGTATAGTGATCCCATAAACAATGACTGATTTATATAAATGAGTATAATTGTTTGAAACATTGCTAACGGTTGGATGACACATGTACACTTTACATATACATTATATATACATTAGTGCAGATGCCACACATTATTATATATTAGACAAAACTGGACCATTATTGTGACGGTAGTATAGGGTATCCCCGTCAAGCATTCCCTTCTTCCCATAAAAGAAAAACACCCAATATTCTACGAGTAGAAATATCCCTGGAATCGCCGAATAATCCACACATGAGCCAAAGCTTAATGCTGGAACAAGACTGATTTACTGGCACACAGAACTCACAATTTATGCAACACAAAACTCCTCTGGGCCAGGCTAGATAATTGAGTTTTAGCAATATACACAGCTCAATTATCTGCTGTCCAAAAATATTACAGTTTTCAACAATTTTAGAAAAGTACTTTTTATGCCACATACAAACATAATTTCAACATCCCTGGGTAGCTGAGGATACTGGTAGTCATATATCCAAATCTCACGAATTTCCGTTCGGTAGTTTCCGTGTCGCATCGTGTGGAAGTTTGACCGGCTCGCCATGTGGAGGTATCCGATTTTGAGTTCCAGAGAATCAGTAGCAAGAGCCGGTCTCCGTTCGCATCTAACTGCACAAAAATCACCGTTCGTATGGTGCAGCTGGTTACCTGTGAATGTTCCCCTTATTCGGTAGATTCTATCTACCGAACGCCAGTTGGATTCATGTAGGGGAACGTATTCATCCAGGACTTCCGTGGTGACCGTGCGTTCGCATGTTTGCCGTACCGAAATTAGTTCCATGAAATTCATGTGTAAGCCCCGCTGACCGCATTTGTGAGTTTTAAGATGGCCGCCATTCTTTGTTCTCGCCACGTTTTTGTATGTCGAATGGCGGCCACCTAGTAGCAATTAAGTCGAGGTTTTCTCCGCGTTCTAAAGCTAATTGCTACCCAGGGTGTGTGGTCCTCTTTCGGTAAACGAATACATTTATTCCCTATATATTGAACCGAACTAATACAGGAATTTAAACAGCAGGGAGAGGGTTAAACTGAAAGTACACAGGTAAATACATGAAAGTCCTTCACAATTATATCCAGTATTTCACATATAAAAATGAGACACACATTTCAGGGGTTCCAGAAACGGTTCAGCCTCTGTATGTCATGTACATGAATGTACCAATACAGATACAAATTATAAAAGATACAATTCGTCAAGTTCCATTTTTACCATATAAATAATTGGGAATGTTGACATGGCTATGTTACATAGAATGAAAAGACAGATGGGTGCATCTGGAACTGGACTTGTGACTTTATATGCACGCCCATAGTATCCTTGGCTCGGTGCCTCTTTTGTTAACTCTGTAGTAACCTAAACCATATAGTGCTAGACTGATCTCAGAGGGCAAAGCAGTGCCCCTGAGATATCCATGTTTTTGCCTTGCAATGCACCTGTTGCAGTATGCTGGGTGCCAGAAAACAAGTTTTAAAATATATACAAGATCTTACAGAAAGTAACAAGCCCATGTCGTTTGCGACGTGTTTTGCTGTGATTATTTTAGATGTGGCCAAGTTCTGCTTTTCTAGAGATGCTTCCAGCCAAATATTTATATACAGATGGTATTTTCATCCATCTCAACTAATTGTACCACATCTATTCTGCAACATCCTCCCAGTACAATGTAAGGTATAGAGAAAAAGTATGTATAACTATATAAAAAAAAAAAGAAAAGAGAAAAAAGAAAAAACTATATATGTAGCAAGAAAGAACACATGTCCAATTAATCTGAATAAAATATGTGCACACATATACTGAAACGTAGATCAATGCAAATAGCAGCTGGCTCCTGGAGCGTAACTCCTACTCATTTTAGGCATATCAGTTCATGTATGTTCTGGAACTGTGATTAGATTAGGGGCTCTGTGTTGGCAGTGGCCTGACTGTCCAGCTTGCCAAACGCATCTCGTGGCAATTCCTTGGCAAAATCGCTAATTCAGCTTTTATTATCGATATAAAGTTACCATTTTGGCCACTGTCTGCAGTGATCACTTTAAGGAGATCTCAAAGACAGGTCAGGAAGCATTTGTAACCAGGGCAGGACTGAGAATGAAAAACAGCCCTGGAAAAAAATTCTATACCAGCCCCATAATGCATTGCGCCAGCATAGTGTGCATATATGGAAGCGGGAAACAAAAACTGAAAACTATCACTCAAAAGTGAAAGCAAGCACCCATAGGGCTTCAAAATAAACAAAAGAGCGGATCTGTTGTAAGCAGAAGTGCATTTGCATATAATCAATGTTTCAGTACAACTACCTTGACACATTAAGGAAAGTTTTGTAATTGGACTGAAATTGTGAATGTATGTTATTGCACAGCAGTAATAAAATGACATTATCTTGCTCATTTTGAAGTAACAAGAATGTACTCTTCACTTTGGCTGACAACTGGATGATCTCAGTCAACGCCAATTCAATTCCCATAGGAAAGCATTGGGGGACTATTGCGCATGTGTGGCAAAACGCTGTGCTTCACCGCACCAATCAGCATCTACTCATAGAGATGCACTGTATCAATGCATCTCTATGGGGAGCATTCAGCGCCTCCATGCAGAGCGTGGATATGCTCAACATAGGCATCACTACATTAAACTGTATCCCATGTGTTTCCCCTCCCAGCCCCCAGGTGTTCCATTAGTTTCCCCTCCCGCAGCCCCCATGTGTCCCATTAGTTTCCCCCCAGCCCCCAGGTATCCCATTAGTCTCCCCCCCATCTCCCATGTGTCCCATTAGTTCCCCCCAGCCCCCAGGTGTCCCATTAGTTCCCCCCCAGCCCTCAGGTGTCCCATTAGTTCCCCCCCAGCCCCCAGGTGTCCCATTAGTCTCCCCCCCGTACCTTACTGTAGAGTGGCCGAGCAGGCAGAACGTAGTGGAGGAGCTCCTGCTCACTGTACCCGGTCTGACAGGAAGCAGTCATGTGCTCTCTGTAATCACTTCCTGTCAGACCAGGTAGGGGAACAGGAGCTCCTCTACCCACGGTCTGAGCCCCATTTCTGCCCTCAATGGTTCGGTGGGGGTTATCCCAGTCCCCACCAAAAGGCTTTGGTTCATGAAACTCTGTCATGACTCGGACATGTAACAATTTAATATGGCCTCCCTTCCACATACAATCACCACTAACCATAGAAGGAGAATTGCTGAGGTTGGAAGAAAACAAAATGGCATTTGTCCCCATCTACAAGCGCTTTTGGCAACACTTACACTAACACAGTATCCAACTCATTTCAACTGTCGGCATACGGTGGTCCATGACCTATTACTCTCCTTTGGGCTTCAAATCCAGTTGGTTGGTGATCCCAAGCACCACTCACCTTGGGAAAATCTTGGTTGCTTGGGACTCTCTCAAGAAAGCTACCTTATCTCTATAAAGGTCGGTAAGCACCTGTGCAGGTCTCGCTAAGACCTTGGACTGGAAAAATTGAACTTTGGGGCACTGTCATGCGTTCTGCCCATACCTCCTAGCTATCCCATGCCTCCCAACCTGTCTCAATTAGGGCGAGTCAGTCCCAATTGTCAGGTCCTTGCCTGCTGTCCTGCCTTTGTTCCCTGCTGTCCTGCCTTTGGGGAATACCAGTTAACTGTCCCGAAGATTTACAGCCCAGGCGCATCATAAGACACGCTCATTCTATATTCAGGGCACTATGGCCTTGCAAGGAGCACTGAAACTATGCTCCTGGCATGACGTGGCCTCTGTAGGCTAGCCTGAGTGATAGACAAGCAGCCTAATGTGTACTCCCCCTTTACCCCCCTTACATAGGTATTCCGATTTTCAAGACAAAGGAGTTGGGATGTATGCTATACCACTAGTGCAAATGTGGGCCTTGGTGCTGGCTCTTGTGCCCCTGCTTATTTTTCTGAGAGGAAGAAGCGGGGCCACTGCTGGCCACCCACTTTTCTCTCCACGCATGTCTCTGATTGCATCAGAGGACCCATCATCAGAGGTAGCAGCAGCAGTGGATGAACTTCCGGCCCTGTCTGCAAGCTGGGTCCCCTAGCACTAAGGTCTGCACTAGCACTATTTCTGCACTGGGGTTATTTTAGAATATCAATTGTTAGGCAAAAGGAGATTTATAAGGGTTTATAAGGGTTGCTGGAAAAAGAGTACTAAAATGGAATCATTGAAACAAATAGAATATTGCTTTCTTTGCCAGAAATGCTTCTATGTATGCTTGTACATTGGGATGGATTCTATTAATGAATAACAATAATGCAATAGACCTCAATGGAGAAATTTCGGATAAATGATCTATACACCAAAAGCAATTAATTAGGCTAACATTGGTTTACTTAGAATGGACAGCGAAGGGGACACTACACTATGCAAATGCAAAAATAAATAAATATTGTTTTTTCATTGGAGGTGTATCTTGTTTGATCAGCTTGGAAAAACTGCCTCTCTCTTTTCTGCAGCCTTTGCAAACTCTCCATTTCTAACCCCACCCAGATTTTATGTGGCTGTCCAATCACAGACTTGCCGCTTAATAAGGAGTATTTGCAAGGCAGGTGTTCTGAGCAATTGGCTGCATCTTGAGGTTAGCTCCACTAAGCTAAACAAACAGGAAGTAGCAGAAACAGCTGTCTGATTGATAACCATGGGGTGTAATCAGGTTATTTTATAAAAGTCTCAGTTTCTATTTAAATCTGCACTTTTTGTAAAATAAAAAAAAAAAAGAAGACACACTCTTCACACATAAGTCACTTCAGCAAGCTGATGTGCTCCAGGTGTCTGGAGTGTCCCTTTAAGGAACCAGATGAAGGAGTAAGTGAAATTATATTATATGCAAATTCTAATTGGAGATGAAAAAAACAGATGTGACATAGATAAAATTTCATACAATTAAATATAGTCACTTAATCAAGAATTATGGAAAATCAACAAGTAAACTGTATGTTTTAGACCAAAACATTGGGATTGGTACCACACACAGAACATGCATTTCTAGGTACTGGTGCTGCTGTAAAGACCACAATATATACAAAATACAGATTAAGGAACACCAAAAAAAATACAGCTTTAAATTTTATAAGGCTACTTAAAATCACCGATCTTAGCAAACAAATCTGGGGTTACACACCATACAGTGATATTGTGTTAAGCCCAACACTGCATCACAGTACCCTTACATCGGTGGGTCATACACCAATTTTAACATGGGAGGTTAACATTCCAACTGCAATACTTACTGCTTACACGGCTTCCAAAGACTCTCCTTAACTTAGGCTTTCCTGTGGTCACTTCCAAAGGACACCTATAGTGGATGGGTGGGGTGCTCAGCCCAATAGGAAAAACAGAAATAGTGGAAACATTCTCCAGCTCAGATATTTTGGTGTAAAATGTTCAATCCCCTTAACAATTCTTACTCATGTCACCGTATTTGAACAAACCCCTTACAGAGTTGTTCCCTAAAGTATGATTTGTAGGTAATTCAAAGTGAATTTATTTATTTTTTGCCAAAATAGTTAAATTGGTTAAATCTTCCTAGTCAGCTGTGCTTTTATTTATTCTATTTTAGTGTAAAATTTGAAAGTCACTTTGAATTCCAGAGAGTTTTAGTGCATTCTGGGTGGTTGTAGTTACGTAGTTAAGTTTGTTCGAGCATCCTTTATCAGGTAACACATCTGGTTTGAGCTACTCACAAAGTTTTTACTACACTCTGTCTGCTTGATATCTCTCCCAAGGCACAGCTGCATTAATGTAAAGTGGCTGCGTTAGCTAATGATCATGCTATATTTTTTCACACTGTCGTTCTCAGCATTAATTTGCATGCACTTCATAATTTATGAGACGTTGTCAAGGCACAGCCTGGCATGCAATTGAAATCACTGGAATCCCATGATCCTGTATTTGCTGGTGTGTGATGGCACAAGTACAAGGGATCATGAGAAGAAGTGTGAAGCATATAAAACTGCACAGCATTATAGAAAGACGATGTACCCATCATGGGTAGAGGTTGGTGCCAGCACCTGATAGGGTAGCTTAAGGGTGTTTGCTATTCTTGTACCTTTCACTCATCATTCCAGTGAATTCTACAGCACTAGAATGAGTAAAAAAATGTAACTGTCACCCATGCACAGATGATATTTTCAGATTAAATTTAGACTTTAAAAGATATATTATTTATTTATTTATAAAATATTTTACCAGGAAAGATACATTGAGATTTCTCTCGTTTTCAAGTATGTTTTGGGTCCACAAAACATTACACTGATACAATAGGATAAAATAAAACACAAAAACAATATTAATACACAATATATACAAAATGTAACATTGAACAGGTAGGAAATATATAATCAACCATGACAGGTGCATTCTGTTTTGAGGTATGTAGAGAGGGATCTCTTAAAGGACTTTTGGCTTGGGGAAGATTTAAAAGTATGCGGGAGGTCGTTCCATAATATGAGAATATAAGATAAAATATTTTGTACATTTACACGCACATGTATAACTTTAGAGAGAACTAATTTGACATCACTACAAATTGACTAATGGGGTGTGGAATAATTATTTTGCATATGGTGATGCTACAGGGATAGCTGATTTAAAAACTTATATGGGCATATGATCTTAATAGCACAAAATGAGAATGGATGCATTGTATGTACAGCAGCTATGGTGGAGCAATCACCAAAGGCAACCAACTGTTTGTTCCTCTTCATTGCTCCAAGTTTCAAATTTAGCATTTTAAACTCTGACAGGATTATTGACTAACGTGAGACAATTGTTGGAAATTCTAAGTGAATTCAAAATTTAAAGCAAAAATTGGAAAGATTCTCCAAGTCAGCTATGCTTCTAATTCGACAATTTTGCTGTAAAATGTGTAATTCAACTTGAAGGTAATTCACTTTCTTATTGATCTATTCAGAGATAAGTGAAACACATTGCTACCTGTGAATGTAACTGGACAGCTCAGTGTGTGATCACAGGAGAGAAAAACAAAGTTTATTTGATACATTAATACTATATCCCCCCCCCCCCCTTGATTCAGTTTTGCCACTTCCATGAAAGTAAACAGTACAGCAAGCTATGAATGCAGAATGATAGAGAGAGATACTAAGTAATCCTAAAAAGAGAAAGCTCTCTTACCCATCATAGCGGTTGTTGTACAGATGGCAGTGCCCAGGGAGCCAGGTATAAACGTGAAGCCAGAACAGAATGAATGTTGCATCAGTCCACATGCAGTCCATCACTCAGACTGGGCACAGGATGGGATAATACTACACAGGGACTTTAGATATCAGGCAGCTGAGCTGGAGGAATATCCACATACTATGAGACTTGTGAGAACTGCCTTCCAGCTGCTGGGGGAAGCTCAGATGCCTTAATTGTGGTTTTTCCCTAGAAGTCAAGCTGGGACGGAGAGATGAACAGAGGATGTCAGAGGGGGGAGGATCTGGCACTGGGCTGAGGATTTCGGTGTTACTGTAAATCAGTTAGGATTAATGCAGCTTCTATAGGGAGGGAGAGCATACAGTGATTGGAGAGGGACAGACACATCCCCCCTTCCAAATCTCCTTCCTGACTACCTGGAAATTCAGACTAAGCTATGAGTCTAAGAGTCAAAGTACAAGCTTCTCAATGAAGCAGGATGAATCCTGTACTTTGTGTAAATTAGAATGAACCTTACATGACAGACCTTAATTAATTTATTTTTTGCAGCTGTATCTCTCCAAAGGTCTGACAGTTTGTTTTACCTTTGCTAATATGAGTCCTTCATGTTGTGGGGCTGTGTCTATAAAAGTTGTCCTAGCAGTTTATAGCATTCATATACTCAAGAAATAAACCATGAATTCCTCATGTGAGACTGGCCAAATGTGATGCTGTGTTTGTTTCCACTCCTGCAGCATTTGAATGCTATATACATACTGCCAGTAATCCATTTACAGCCCCTTCATTCTCATGTATCTGGCAGAAACATGAGAGTATGAGGAAAGAAAATGGTTGCAGGCGATGCTGATTTATGGCAAGAAAGTTATCACTTTGGAGTTGGTCTGAATTTAGGTTGATCAGCTGTCCTTATGAATTATGTATCATCGAAGCAGAATACGGACATAGAACTAGTGCGACAACCGAACATATTTGATGGATTTTGTATTCGGAATGAGTGTTGGAGGCCCCAAATTAAGTTTAATTTTGTAAAAAAAAAAAAATTTTCGATTGATTTTTCCCACTGTGCCCAAGTCCAGACTAATAAATAATATACTATAAGCCTATACTCATATATACTAAACTGTAAGCTTGTTTGAGCAGGATCCTCTTCAACCAATTGTTCATGTAAGTCTTTGTAATTGTCTCATTTATTGTTAAATCTCCCTCTTCTATAATATTGTTAAGCGCTACAGAATATGTTGGCGCTATATAAATGCTTATAATAATACCACAAGTCTTAACTAATAAATTCAGTCATTTTTAGGACTAATCTTATCCTTTAGGTTTGTGTTTATATATTCTATAATTTTAATCTACCTATTATTCCTCCTTTGTCCTACAAATGTTTATATTTTGCGCTTACATATTATTATTGGGATTAGCATTTATAAATAGGATACACTTTAGAATTAGAGAAAAAAGTGAAGTATATACAACACATGCTTTGCAAGTTGAAAGCATAGATGCAAAACTTTTTTTTTTGTCAGGATACACTAATATGCCCAGCACACAGAACCTAAATAAAATAGAAAGAAAACCATATTACCGGGCCTTAGAAACGGCCGTATTTAATCAATAAAAAGAAAAGTACAAGACAGGCTGAGGTCAGGCATACAGAGTATATATAAATGGTAGGCAAGCCAAAGGTCAAGCAAAAAAGAAGTCAGAATAGTCAGGAAACAGGGTCGGGTCGGATGCATTTTGGCATCATGGCAGTCGGATGCATTTTGTGAGTGCTCCTCCACAATCTGATGCAATCTCACATAATACCCTCTTAGGGTACTCTCATCCAGCTTTCATTGGGACTTACCCACCTCCTGCTTCCAGAGGAGTGCCTAGGGTCGGGTCCGTGAAGCGCCCCGCTGACAGTTATTCCCAAAGCACCAAGTGAGGCCTAGTTGGTCCATCGGGTGGGAGAGGCGGATCCCCCAAGTCCGTGCTTTGAAGATGCCGGCCAGCATACCAGTCTGGGGCAGAGGATCTGGCCTCCCTTGCTCCCATTTCACTACGTTCACTGACGATGGCCATGCAGGCCTCATGCGCTTCCCTACAGTGGGGTCGGATGACATGAGACTTGCCTTACCTTGTACACAACAGCTCGGCCTGAAGTTAAATGCCCACGTGGCACCAGTGAAAGCCGACTATGTTGTATTAAGCAAATTATTATATTGAGTTACTTATATTTTACATTATGTTAGCAGCAATAATGTATAAATGCCCTAGAATCCAGTGACTTCTAATGTGTGGTCGCTGTTTGATTTGTTTTTAGTTTATCTGAATTCTTGTGGGGCCCAGACCTTGTGCTTTGTCAGCCCTGCAGCCGATTGTCAGGGAGGGTGATAGCAGTGTAGTTTATTGTGTGACAGGTGGATTGGTAAGTCCCGTACCTGTTGGCTAGCATAGACTCTGCTGTGTATGAGAGGGGGGGAGTGTGGGTGTGGGTGTGTGGGTCCCCCTGAGTGGTTGCCCTCATCTGAGAGGGATGTTAGTGAGGGGTTATAGGGGGGGGGGGGTGCCAACTCGGTTCTTTATATTTTTGCCCAATTTTGGAGTGTTTGTAGTTAGCTGTAGTGCGCCTTAATGGCATATACATGAAATGAAATTTTTAAAAGTTAAACACATAAAAAAACATATTATAAGATACATAGTGAGGCGTTGAGCTCTGCGCGGGTTTTCGGCCACCTTGTCTATTTGTTTCAGCATGATTCATGCTCAGTCCTGCCAGGGTTCCGATTCCCCGGATGTGTTGGTTCTTGGTGTGAATGGGGTTGTGGTCGCTGGGTCCCAGGTGTTGGGTGGCTTGTCTCGTGGTGCGCTTACGGTCTGGTCTTCTATGCCTAATGATGCAAGGAAGGTGTGTATATCTGCCCCAGATTCTAGTGTGCGAACAGTCCCGTTATGTGTAACAGGGTGCCAGGGGGGCCCCATCGGTATGTTACTCCCGCGGTCCTGAGTTGGGAGGTAACCGGTGCTAGTGATTTGTGCCATAGCAGTGTGGCTCGTGTTAAGTCCTGGTAAAAGGTTAGAGAGGCGCTTTCAAAAGACAGCAGTGTTTTGTCCTTCAGGGCTAGCATAAGTTTGACTTTATCTTGCGACGTGGAGCAGCGGTGTATGACGTCCCGCATTTGGCCAGGTTTTGCTGTGTGTGAGCCTGGTATTCTGTGTGCTCCGTCAATGTATAGTTTCCTGGCCGTTGGGTGGGATAGAATGGTTGTTAGCAGTCGTCTGATGTAATGTGGTAGCTCGTCTGCCATAATGTTAGCTGGGATGCCCTTTATCTTGATGTGATTGCGGTGTTGTCTGTCTTCAAAGGCCGTCAACCTGAGTGATAGAGCTGATTGATGGACTTGTAGTTGGGTGACTGTGTCTTTAATTGTGGTCATTTCAGAAGTAATGTTGCTGATATTGGTTTCTGTTTGTGTCACCCTGCCTGTGACTGCCTGTATCTCTGATCTGAGTTGCTGGAGGTCTGCAGCCCAGACCTGCTGGATGTCTGCCAGCAGTGCTTTTAAATCTGCCTTGGTGGTGGGGGCAGTGCCATCATAGGGCTTTGGGGGTAAAGCCTGACCTGTCTGAGGGTCCTGTGTGGCCCCTACCTCATCGCTTGTCCCTGTGGCCTCCAGGTGTGAGGGTTGCTGCGCATCCATGGAGGGAGCTTTGCCTGGTGCCTGTCTTTGCAGCATGGAGCTGATGTCTCTGCACTCCGCCGCCGTATTCGGTTTTTGGGACCGACGTCTCATTGCTGGCATCAGCGTTTGTCGTGGGGGTGAGGTGTCCGGTCTGTACAGGCTGTTTCCCATGGTTCTGATCGCTAGGAAGTCGCCCAGGTTGTAGGCTTGTGGTGCGCGGTAGTAGGCCCCAGGCCTGCGTTTTGCTTTAGACTGCTTGGGCGGCTGAAAGAATGGCATCGGTGGGTGCCGGATCACTCCTTGAGGCAGGTCAGTCAGGTTGGGTGGTTGGTTGGGGCAGGATGCCTTAGATTGTGGGTATAAATTGGGCTAATTGCGAGGAGCTGGCCGAGATGGCGTCCGACCCTGTTGGTTGCAAGCACCACCCCCGGACTTTAGTCTTTTAGTAAAAGATTTCTGGGAAATCCAACTTGTGTATTTATTTGCATTGTGTCTCTTGGAAATTTATACTTTCAGTGTAACCTTAATACTCGAAATTTCAATTAAAAATTTGAATGGGTGACTAGATGAATCTGGGGGCAACTTGATTGTCAGTTTGTTGGTAAATAGGCAAATTGTTATAATTGTTATATGAATTGTACAAACCTGTCTTAAAGAAGCACAGTGCATTGGTGTTATTTAGTGTTATTTTCCATCCTCAAAACATATTAATGTTTAAAATGAGTAATTTATTGTCTTTACTCATTTCACTGCAATTCATTTCAGCATAACCAATAGCCTCTAGTATTTTTATAGTATAGTATAGTTTATTATACTACTATAGTTTTTTTTGTAAAGAAAGAATGTGGCAATTCAGATCTATCCATACAGTGCTGAAATATGTTCTGCATAGGCCTGGAGTTGAACATTATGATGAGCCTAATTACAGAAACTGATTTAATACTTTGTTGGCATGATAGTTTCCCAGGTAGCCTTACAGCTGGTTTACTAGGCATCACATAGAACAAAGTCCGCACTGGCAAACTCTATTCAGCTTTATTATACCTGTCTAAATGGAAATACAGCCAGGTGAACATGTCCATTTCGAGGTTCTCTCAGATTTGTTTCTGCTGCTTCACTGATTGCTGGTCCAAGTAGTGGACTTTGGATTTTCTCTGGGTCTGTGTGACTCTGACACCCCACACATCCAAGAGAAGGAAAATATGAGCAGTACACGCAATACAGAACCAGCCCACCCATGTTAGTGTGTGTTGTAATTTAGGAGTGTCATGTGTGTTGTGCCAGTTTGTGAAAACTTTGTGTGCAGTGTGTGGATGTGTGTGTAGAATTGTGCATTACAAGTCATTATTATTTAGTTTGACTTTCTGGTCTCCACATTACATCAACTCATGTGTTTTCGTTACTATTTTCCCCTTTTTTCCCTATATTCCCTGTCTCACCATCTCCTGCCTTTTTCTTCCCAGCAAACTCATAATTTTATGGGTCTTTTGTTAAGAATAGTCCCATCGTTAATTCTAACCCACATCCTTTTAAATAGGTGGCCACTCTAACTTCTAGAAGACTCACTGTACAGGATGTTTAAGAGATAATCATGTTTTGATTGGACTAATGACTGG